CTATGCTCGCTGTGACCTGTAAACTTACTTATACTAAATGCAACACACTTACAACTAATAAACGGTAATAACTTCGTGACAATCATTCTTGTTTTAAGCATTTGATAAAAACGTTATCACGAGGAGAGATGACGTGTTTTGCCTAAAGATTGTGTTGGTGGAATCTTATTGAAATACGTTTGTGAAAACCGTTCACGCTTTGGCTTTTGATATGGCACCATAACAGAGTTACCTGGCTTGTTCGACTCGATGATCAAGTTAGGAAACAAGCATCATGTACTTCATTCGGTTACCGCTCATCCGTACAAATCCCATGGTAAGGCACTGCCGTACGAATATCTTTAGGGACATATAATTGTAGAGGAAAGCACGTTTGTATCGAATGTATAGGAAACTGAAAGATCAGATGTCGCCATTAACATTATCAGTTACACATGTATAACGTGCTGTGCAAATTACTTAAGCATAATTCGGCCTAGAGACTTAAAGACATATAACATCAAAAATATATGTTTTTGGCAATGGAAAATAAATTGATTTTTGATAATTGGTAATGCATCCATACATGCATTTACTCTTTTTGGCAAGTGTACCGATTAAAATGCCGTGATACGTGTTAATGGCTCATATGGCAACATTTAAACATTTTATAAAAAAAACAAAAAACAAAACAGAATCAGCTGTATTGTAGGACCGTTTTGTCAGTGCGTATAACATTTAATGAATGACGATTATTTTTTAAAGCAGCATAAATAAAAGGGTAACTGTTGAAATGTAAATATATGAAACGTCTTTTCCCTTACTGTGTAAACCGCATTTAACGATTAAATCAACATAACGCGCTAACGCACATCACTTTAGATATATGTTAAAACAAAGATGCAGTTTATACACCAGTTGACAATATATATATATTTATAGATCAATGAAGTAAATACAACAATACGAACAAGTGAATTGTGAAATTTTTAAGGCAATCTGCCCCTTTATTAAGACACAAATATCATATAAATCACATCACATACATAGAGCAGATACAAAGATTTAAACTTAAATTGAGAACGCAAGTGTAAAAGGTGTCTCGATAAACCCTTCGGCCAATGGACGCCGAAGGGCTCTTCAAAGGGACAAAAAACCATTTAAGTTGTGGTATGAAAGGTTGTGATTTAAATATCAAAAATGTTTTATATATAAATCTTGGTCTGTTGTGCACTGTAGCCACTTAGCGTTAATGTAATCGCATATTTATATATATATATATATATTTATATTCAAATATTAAAGTTGAATTCTCAGTATCCGGTGAAATATACTAGAATAACTTAAAACAACAAGTCGAATTAAGCATTAAGCACATATGACGTCACATAATGACTCTTGTTATTACGTCACAGACATTGTATCTAGACAATTTATTAAGCATCATGAAGATTCAGGAATGAAAGCGCTAATGCTTAATTCGAAATGTTGTTTTAAGTTATTCTAATATATATATACTCAACAAAAAAGAAAGGATAACATGTTTCCTTGGCGAACACATGTAAATGAGTGAAAACAAAATGACGTTTGTGCAATATTTGAAAATGGTAATGTTTTACATTACAAAATCCAAGGGGGTTACCAAAATCATACAAGTGTGAAAGTCTGTATTAGCGAAAGAGCTGCACGAGGTTTTGTGCGACTAACTTGTATCTTCGCTTGAATTTCATAAACATTCGAACTGACAACTGCTCCTTAGATCCTTAGGACTTAGAAATCACCGAATCTTGCTATCTATCAACCTTACGACAATGGAACAATGTTCTGTTTTCAGATGAGTCCAGGTTTTGTCTGCAACACGGTGACGAAAGGCGCAGAGTGTGGGGGCGACGAGGGAAGCGTTTTGCGAACTGCTGCGTCGCAGAACGGGACCGCTTTGGCGGCGGAAGTGTAATGGTTTGGGATGGTATTTGTGGGGGGCCTCGTACCAGGCTTGTGTTAAATGGCAATTTAACCGGCATTCGATATCGGGACGAAATTTTAAGACCAGTGGTTCTGCCATTCTTAAGACGCCATGGCGTTGGCGCCATTTTTCAACAGGATAACGCACCAGCGCACACCAGTCGCGTCAGCAGAACTTTCTTGCAGCAGCATAACGTACAGGTGTTAGATTGGCCATCTAAATCACCTGATTTGTCACCGATTGAGCACGTCTGGGACGTTCTTTGACGACGCGTGAGAGAACGTCAAAATCAGCCGTCAAACTTGCAGGAGCTGGCCGAAGCCTTGATCGCTAAATGGAACAACATCTCTCCTCGAATTATCTGCCGGTTTACGAGTTCCATGCGACGACGCTGCAATGCTGTTTACTTCGCCATACCCGTTACTAATGGTGCTACCTTTGAAATTGACCCCAACGTCCTTTACATTCGTTTTAAATCAACTGAACGCAAAGTTTTATAATGAACCATGACTGCAGTTTTATCAGAATTGATCAATTACTTTATTCGTACATGATTGGTAAGGATTTATGAAGGGGTTAATTAATTAATCACAGAATAAAGTAGTGTTACCTTTCATTTTTTGTTTAGTATATATGTATCTATATAACAACATTTCGAATTAAGCATAAGCACCTTGCTCTACAACTAGAATATCGATTATAAATTTGTGGTTTAATCAAGAAATATCATTTAGAAAGCTTAGTTACATTAAATGCAGTCGATAATCATAAAAAAGAAAATACCAACATGTCAACATAATCATAATCTAAACAATTTCTTGTTATTTAGAGACAAGAAATCGTCAATATATCTCAAAGTGGAATTACACGAATAGGCAAGGGCTGTGGGAGCTGTTTTGATATTGATACAACATTTTACGGTGCATTATATATATATATTTACAGCGTATTGTATTTGTTGTTTAATGATTAATTATCATTAAAGTGCACCTAATCGACAGAAATCTACGGGATAGGAACCTGCAAAAATATAGTACCAGCATCAGTGAGAGGAATAGTAGCTGAACAACAACCAAATTACTGTCACCTTCTTACAAGTTTATCTCTAAGGTATATGATGGTTGGTGCTATTTAATTACGTATCAACGCCAAGAAAACTATGCAGTTTACTTTATATATGGGTCCTGTCCCCAAGAGGTCCAAGCTCAATTTTGTTGAAGTAGTTTAAACTAATTTAATGTGGTGCATTAAGTGGTCACATCTCTCCTAACTGGTAAAATCACGTATTCAGGATCTTATAACTTCCCGAGAGAAAATTATATAGTTTCTTTCATGACGGTAACGCCTACAGTGTGTAAATTATGTGATTTGATTCAAAGTTTATACTGCGGCGTACAGTATCGAATTTCTGTGATGCTTACTTTGCAAATGATTTTGAAAATACTTAGTAAGTATAACCTTCAAAAACATTTCTTAATGGAAGCGAAATGATCCGCACTTAAGTAAGATAATTAACACGGTGTTAGTACAACTACTATACTTTTGTTCCCACTTATATCGAAATATAACTCATTGCATCGACTAAGCTTGATTAATGCAAAAAAAAAAAAAAAACAAAACAAAACAAAAAAATACCAAACACGACATATTTTGATATATGTAAACAATACACAACTAAGGCTCTCATCATGTGCTTCAAATTCATTACAAAAAATTCCAAGGGGATCTAAGCACATACCGTTTCAAGATAATATAGTTTTCATAGTTTGCTCTTCCTTCGCCTGTCATTGGAGTGATTTCTATGATGGTTTTAGAGATATGACGATATTTCAAACAACAGATATAATATCAAAGGGGAAAAAGCAAAGAAAAGAGGAAACCTTTTATAAAGCGGGACCTTGTACGTGCAGGAAGGACAAAGATATCATGCATGCTTCCCCAATTACAGAATAACAGGAAACGAATGTGGTTAAAAAAAGGAATTTGTTCCTTTAATAGAAAAGGAATAATGACCCGATGGAAAATGAGGCCCTTGTCTTATTGCAGGTTTAGGACAGTTATAGAATGTAAAATCTACACATTCCAAAGAGGTCTTTCATTACGCACACATGAAATCTATTCTGTCATTTGATTATTTTGGGATTTCAAATGGTAGGATCCACATTAGGATGACATTAGCGTATGAATGGACCTCTGATTTACCATTTACTTGAAGTGTCATAACAAGGACACAGTATCATGACACCGAATAAATGCACCATACCTCCGATCAATGCTTTAATAGCACTGGTGTTTTGTTACTAATAGCTGACCGCATGATAGCAAAGGTCCTACGATCGTTGAAATAACGATTTAAATTTGCTAATCGAAGGCATCTTTAGCTATGTTTTCGGTTGTCCTCCGTTTTAACATGAGTCAAGCGGATAACCACATGTCATCAAAATCATATAAATAAGATGGTTAAATCGAGCACAAGATACGCCCAAAGTAAATATTTACAATTCAGTCAGAAACAATAGTACACGTGTTCCAGAAGGGTTAGCGTTGTTTTCGAGGGACATTACAGTCACTATTTAAACATTGGTAATCCGAGTAAACTCATATCATCTCCAAGAGACATTGTTATTTACAGCGTCGTTATATCAAAAATCAAAACTTTAAAGTCCTTACGAGCATAATATTACTGTTTTGTTAAATTCTCCGATCAATGTAGCCGCGTATGCCATACATAACAACCCTGTTGAATTTCCCGATTAGTGTTCATGTGAACAATTGATTGGAAGATAATGTAACCGAACTCGATTTCATTCACAAGAGACAATCTTTAACCAACAATTTGCATAAGGATCATCAATGAGTTTAGATAACACTATCATTGGAACACATTTCGTCATATATGATAGTAAGTTTAAAATTTCGATGCCATCATTTATACAATAAAAACCAATTTTCGATCACACTAATTGATTCATGTATTCTGTTTCTATTATTTAAAACACATATTACATTAACACTAATGATCAATGCATGCACATTTGATCATTTTCGAGATTTTTCTTTAATCGTTTCGCCTTTTTTTCACAAAGAAGTAGGCCAGTTCTACAAACAGTTCTAAGATTTCGCCAATAGTCAATGCAGAAGCCCCCAGGAAAAGGCCAAGTGATCCTCCAACATCGGACAACAGGTTCATCAGCTGCAGTATAGAAAGAGTATCACATATTCATAATATGAGTAAAGGTCGTACTGTCAAGGAGATATTGAATAATTATTCAGGGATTGGCTTTATTTCAGGTCGTTGAACAAGCGTTGTAATTTAATATAAATCTACCAAATCTACTAAGACTATTATTCCATCACAATATATCATGTCATACATGCCATCAAGACTTATTTTAATCCTAACTGCATCTATGATAAAAAGAAAGTTTACGCTACGATTTACTATTACACAATACTTTCTAAATAATTAGATTTATCTGTTGTCACATCACTGCTGTTTAATGAAATTGTTATAATAACACTATTGTCATGAGTAGTAACGTTTTCATGATGTCAGATCTCTGTCGCTGTAGTGTGAAATATACTGTCCGTGTCGAAATGAATCTGTCTTATGACGAGATTAATTTGCGATCTTTCTCTTATCTTTTTTTAGAAATACAAGATATGTGAGAAAAAGGATCTTATATTCATGTACATGAAATATTGAATCTACTAAACTTAAACAATTCATGGCGAGTGACATATAAAATCCCTAAATAGAACAAATATTAACAGATTTCATTCCAGCAAGTTTCGTCATATCACAAGCCACTTTCGTTGTCAGTAACAGATTGAACACTTAAGAACTTGAGAATTCTGGAATGTTGGGTCTTAATATTCTATTCTCTCATCAGTTAATGGTCGGGTATTTATTTGCGTTTTTAATAATTTCAATCTGTTTTCAACGACCTTTCCTTAAAGGATAAACCCATCTGCATAAATTAAAGTGCATTTAAACATACATACTATTAACAAATAGTATTTGTGTTTTACTTCACTGGAAATCAATCATATCAAAGATAACAAATACACATAAAGCCAATAATATTCTTAAATAAATACATTGCACTGAATACGAACACAATGAATAAAGTTATTGTAATGTGGTGAAATACACAGATGCACATAGACAACGTTGTTGTAAACCGTGGACGTGTGCGAATGTTGACAAGATGGGGTTTACATTCTGTGGAAAACTCGTAAAAAGGCACTGTTGATACCATTAATTCAAAGCTTTGCCAGGCAGCTTGGAATGGGAATATTCCCGGCGAGATGCACCAGAAATAAAAATATCACTGCCTTAAAGTCAACAATGACAACAACTAAGACTTTGCCCCCACAAGTGTTGTACATATAGACTAAATGTATCATTTAGTGGCGCTTGGAACTATAGTGGTAATTGCTATCCAAACGGAGCGCAATCCAAACATTGATTGAAACCTGGTCCTAAACGGAGCGACAAATACAGACAACAGGCAGTCATTAGCAAGCACGATACTGTTACAAAATGTTACCATGTTCAAATATAGCTCGCCGACCGTACTGTAAATTGTCGCGGAAAATAATTAAATCAATTCAAGGCAAGTGTGAATCCCGCTGGCAAGATGTGCGCTTTCTAACAACGTCTTGATTAAAGGAAACGAATAGCAATTTTCTAAGTGTCGCGTCCACTTGTTTGAAAAAAGAAAGGAATGCATGTCGACGATGAATTCAAACAAAGTTATCAATTCTAATTTATTTGATTTCGTGAAAAATCACGTTAACGCAAGATATCTTTTTTATATCGTGATACTTTGCAATTTAGCATACGATGAGTCAAATACGTTCTTCTATCGGGTCCGAGGCGTCCTTTTGGTCTAGAATGTCTGGCAGTGAAAACTACATTGATTGTTCCTCGTTCATTTTTCATCTCGTGAAATTGACGTTTGAAGTGTTGAGAATAGATCATATGCGAATATGATTTGTTAAGTATGCATCGATACAAATGCGTCAGGCATGAAAAATTTATTCCATAAGTTAATAGTTAAAAGCCATGGGTGGAGCTATTATAGCTCACCTGACCTGATGGACCACGTCGTCCGTCGTTCATCTGTCCCTCCTTCAACTTTTTTTCAAATTGCGACTCGTAATGAACGACGGAGTGGATTGTGACCAAATCTTGATAGAAGCATTATTGTAGGAAGGGATGCAAAATTGATATCAACAGTTGACTTAAAACCCCACTCCTCTTTTACGAAGGACTGGCTTTGGCCCAATTTGGTCTGAAGCATTCTGGGGATGAAGTGGAATCATTTCGGAATAAACAGTGTGTCTCGGTCAAATAGGGCGGGAGGGATGGTGCCCACAGTTTGAAATAGAGCAAATGCTGTAAATTTCAGCACCTCTTGAAAAATTGGAAAGGGCAGGACCTATTATAGGGGTAATAAAGCAAATTCAATAAAAGCATTCTTCTGTAGCCATGGTAAGATTCTGACCAAATTTGGTCTGAAGCATGAAATGTTCGGCTGACCAGCCTAATAGGGAAATGCATATGGTGAAAGTTGTGTGCTTGAATATATTTTTTTCAGACACTAATGATGACCGATACAGGCACTTTTGGCCTCTTTGTCTAGAGAACTCTAAAATACGATATTTTTACCCAATTTACAACGTCTGTGGTATAAAAAATGTCCGTTGATTTCAGCACCGTAACATCTGCACCGCAACAAAATACTCACATATTATTCCGATAGATAGTCGATGATGTTGCTAAAGCGAGCCGAAATGGAGACCATAACATAGTGTCTGGAACTTTGCCATCGTATGGAATTGAACTATACAATGACAATTGTATTGGCTAGTAATGATCAACTAATGAGAAACGTAGAAAATGAAATGTCCATGTGTGAATGGCATCCACACAGTAAATGATTGGTTGTACCGAAAGCAGTGTGAACAATTTCACACTACTGGGTCCTGAGTAATGCTAAATCAAACGACACTAGATAAAAGACGTTGACAAGAAATAAGATATCAAATTTGAACACGTAAGAAATATTTGCAACGAAACTAATTTGCTGTCAAATACATTATAGTCTACTTTATATGTAAAATAAATATAAATGATTCGAAAACTATTTCTTCTTAATGGTAGGTTATTCACGGTGCATGTTATTTCCAGAATTAGCAAAATAATATACAATCGATCCAGATTTTATGTGTCAGAATTTTCATCCAAATATTGCTATTGTCTATATTTACATACACAATGACATAATGGTATTTTAGAAAATTGTAGTCATATTTTCCTGGTACGTTTTCATGAATCGACTGATATCCCTCTTTTGGTTTTATTTTACCATCCTTTCATCGAATTTGTGTTTAAATCGATGTTCGTGTAAGTATTTAGCTTATTGTAGCTTAATTTGATATATTGCAACTTACAGCACGCTCACTTCCCAAGCTCTATCTCAGTAAAGTAGATTCTTCAATCATGATTTGATCTATTTGTCTAACTGTGCTTTAACAAATAATCGGGTACGCCTTAACTAGTAAAAACAACTCATCGATATCCCACTTGTCGTTTTATACACACTGCAAAATTAGTGTTTCTTATTTGGCACATTTCTGGTGTATGTAAATCGATAATGAATCTCTTACTTAAGAACAAAACCCGAACCGTCGAATGTTTACGACTAGGACAGTGTTATATTCATATTGAAACAAACAATATGTGTAAAGCATACTATGTTTCATTGGATTTTGATAATCTTGCACTTCACTAATCGAATAATTGATTGCGCTGTTAACAATGTATGAAAAAATCGACTTCAAGACTGGATGTATATGTGAAATATGAAGCACTTTACAAAAGGTTTGCATAACTCGTACTAAACGTTGTAATTATAAGTTTCGACTTAGTTTCATCTTATTGTTGTTAAGGTGTGGTTAGGAAAAGCATACATGTTCGTACATATAACTAGGCCGGTTGATAAAAGTATGAGCATACAATTTACCAGACACATAATGTAAGTTAACCATAATACTGTTAATAGCGTCATATAAACGCGTTTTGAGGACAATGGATGTAAAAGTGCCGCAGTTATATGCATATACCTGTTCAGATGTCAATTTCATTTTATTATTCTGACATATAAATCTGTAAATGTAAATCATCTTCTAATTTTCTCTATTTGTCTGCGTGGAGACATATTTAATGGAATGTTACCTCATATTCTGGTTCTTCTTTCAAATACTGGAAGTTAAGGTCTTCGTAGTAAATATTTATCTTCAGGAAGTTCGTCCTATAACGAAATTGAGAACAATGACATTTCCAGCTTAACATATTTACATTCCTGTTTAAACGATGTTTACAATATAAAATTTCATATATTACGATACTTTTTATGCATATTCTAATCTGCATTTTCATAACAAATCCTTCACATTCCTATCAAAATAACCTAATAAATGCAATTATATGTACACATCAGTATAACCCGGACATCAATTCACAACATTGATCACTAGTAAGACATAAAATCTTGCCTCAATTTTGCCTTTGTGAGACCAAAGATAGGACATCTCTTCTGAGTTGTATTATATTTACTGCATGCAAGCTCCACCAAGTCGTCCTGTACATGTAACGAGACAATATAGTCTTCATTTTATTAGGCAAATAAAAAATAAAAAAGATAAATACCTAATCAGAGAGATAATGAACAAATAATATACAACTACAAACATCATATAGGGAATCTTCCTTAAATGTTTATATACACTATTTTGGTCAATATGACGAAGGTTTAAAGCTATAAGACAAATAAAATCTAGAAAGACACTTAATTTCTATTTGCCATTCTCTCTGTTTGTTCTTTTTTTTAATAATTAGCCTTCTTGTGGCATCCAAATCTGTTCCTTTCTTTAATTACTTACATTGAAGATGCCGTCGATGAAGCAGCTCACCTGGTCTTATTCTGTTTGAATATTTCTTTTGCTCATATTTTACCTTCTTTTTTAATGTTAATTTGAATGAAGATTATGTAAACATGTCAGTATTTTTTTTATTTCTCTCTATATATTGATATGACAATATTTACATTGGGCGGAAGAAACTCTGTGCAGATAGTTCCCCTCTGATTGAGCACTTTGGTGAAAGTTTGTTGTCAAATAAACATTTGCCAAAATAACTGGAGTGATATTCATAGGACATTACTATTGACAATACTCAAAGGAATAGCAGAAACACACAATCTTTACATGAAGTTGAACTCACCAAGTAATCATCGGTTGGCCAGAGACGTCCAGAGAAGAATCGGGAATACACCGTCTCGCTATGAATAAATACAACTGCGTTAGATGCAGAATTCATTTAAATATATCAAATAGATGATAGTGTTATTGATGTGGAATTGTTCTATTTCTTTGAACAATATGAGGCTAGGCGTGTTTGAAAAGCATTGGATTTGCTGTTTGCTCTTTAGTTGTATACCCTGTTCTCATTTGAGAAAGTGACCTTACTTTCTTATATTGACCAAGATCTAAATGGAGGGTGTCGTCAATAAAGCGGGGGATGTTGAATTTTCCTGAACACATGCTCTTGATATCCGTTTGGATGTTCCTTTTGGTGATATATTGCCATTATTTTATTGACTTTTATAAAAGGATTATGCTGGTTTTCATATGTTGCTAAAATCCTGTGGTTTTAGATGTTATTTCAATTAAGCGTTTCACTTCCTATCGAAAGCTATGATCTTTTGTGGAAATGTGTCAAATGAAACAACAACGAGAACAGATACTATCCAGTTGGATAGGGCAGAAATCAATACCTCCTGGAAGATTGTAATACAAATGTTAAACAACATCAACCGTGTTCTAACCCTACTATCTGCTCCTCGCACCAGACATTGTGCGTGATTGCATGTATTCGTTAGGTTTGTTGTCACCATGGAGACCGTGCTTGGACATCACGAGGATAAAATCCTGGCTAATAACAAATAAATATCTTAAGAATGAAACATGTTATATCGCTTGAAAAAAAGTGTGAATTGTCTAAACGAGAGATAAAGTGTTTTCCTCTTTTTGTGTTCGTTGACATTGACGAGACAAAAAATAATCTGTTGTCCCGATGACAACATTTTGTGTTAAAGTTCAAAGCCCATTCCTTAAACAATCTTACCCTCTGTTAACAGGGCTTCTCAGTATCGAAGTGAAGCTAACAATGCAAATACCAAATTTAGGGAACCGAATCACCAGAACACGAACAGACGGTGATATAAATTAATAACGTCAGTAAATCAGTGACTTCATCTAACATTTCAATTTTTGCAGGAAAATAGGAAATGAATGAGAAAAATTTCCGCAGGGTAGGTGTCGATTACATGCTACAGTGACAGACAATTATTTTCACTAATCTCATTTCGTTGAACGAATTCCCATAGGTAAACTGCGTATTGCTGAAGAGAAGAAAACCAATTGATCTTATCTTGGATTCAATCAAGCATTTTCAAGTTATGTAATGAATAACAAATAGATAGGAAATGTCTCTATGGACTTGTATATTTATGCAATTGAAAGTGTTTATAAATCTGATTCGTGTACCTATTCACGTCCCCAAATTTGAAAACGTATTTTGATTTATAGATGAGATACAGGTGTACAGGTACAGATGTATTCATTTAATACGCAAGTTAACATGTATTTTGCAAGGAAGATTTTTTTCTTTTTGAACCATACCAAAGCTTTATTCATATGAAGACTGACATCTATGAAAAATGGACTCAATCTTTGTAACTTGGAAGTAATTGACACGGTGACACAGGTCTGACCGCCGGAGTATGAAGTGATAATGTTAAAAGACAAAAGGGAATACATCTGCTGGTCATAACAGTAATTGAGATTAATCAAATTCCGTTTGGTTTGTAAGCAAAACCCTGTGCTCTTTCAGTGGTTATGATTTATGATTTGAAAGTGCAAGTCCTCACATTTGAACAAGACACCGCTGTGCCTCCTTACTGTCAAATGACATGTGATTGTAATTCGCAACGGTACAAAACTACGAAATATATTAGAAAAGCTCCATATGAAATCATTATACCTTCACGGAATGATTGAGTAGCACACCAACATTCCTAACCCTTATTTGATTCTGTAATGTTCTGACATTTTCAAACCTTTGCGAATGAGGTGCCCTACGCAGATAAATTACCTGTAGTGTACGATGTAGATGTCACGACCCAACGCAAATTGAAATTTCCCATTTCCTAGAGATGATTACGTACGTCCTAACGATTCATTAACAACTCTGTGTAATTATAAATGTATTCAACAATTTGAACAATTATGATTTCATTTACAAATTTAACGCCCCTTAACATAATTACAATATCCATCCTTTAACTAATTCATAATTAACGGGGTGATATAATTCAATAGTACTTGCTATAATTCGAACATCAATAGTTTTTTGTTCTGTGTTGTCCTTATTAGAATGACTTTCAAAATGAAGACCTCAAGACTACAGAGTGCTTAATGACACATTCAAATACTGACTTGCACGTGTTAGGACATTTACATCCCCTGTTCCCAGTCAGAAAATCCTTGGTCACAGCAGTGGAGCAACGGAAATCTGAAGAAAAGAAGAGGTCAGCATTTTATATCAAATAATGAAAACAACATACGAGATGTATGTGTTTTAGGTTGTTTGCACATACGCTTAAGTATATTAAAAAGGGTAGTTTGGTGTGTGTGTTTTTTTTTTTTTTTTTTCTTATTGTGTAAATGTGTGATTATTTGGTGATTGTTTATCATTAAAAGACATGTGCTGCAGAAGGTGTTTGTTGAAAGATATGAGTGGATAACAAGCTGACTCAGAGGTGTTTACAGATAATGTTATATAAGCTACAAATGTACCTAACAAAGACCCCACTATGGTAATTCTACGTATAAATGTAGCGAGCACCTGAATAGTATACAGCGTATTCTAAATCTGACGGTTGATCATAAGGACGCTTGACTAGTTTCCTGTTGCTTTTATGGATGAATAAAATGCTCTTTGTATAAATCGTCAAAGTTGCTTTTGAGTTAGAGGAGGTAGTCTGTTTATATATGCAGTTTTTTAATGAAGCAATCGTTGGAGGTGTGAATTGATAGATATATTCTCAACATAGGTACCAATATATTGAAAGGCCAAATGTCATTCCCTTGCCAGTAAGTCTTCATAACGAAGATCTGAGCAACATCGTTGTGACAGTAATAGAGAGGACTGCTCTCATTTGAAACCGAGATATGAGTTATGCTTTGTTTCCGGTTTGCCAATTATTTCAGAATGCAAATGCAAAAATAGGAACAGCTTGAAAACGATCTACTTAGTAATTCTCAAAGCACTTTTATTTTCAAACCAAACTACAAACAAATGCATTAGGTCCATTCATATAACTAGTAATACAGATAGTTTTGTTTCGGATTGCTGCCAACAGAAAATATTCCCTTCGTTATTTTTCGATGAAATATGATGGTTATTCATGTGTTACGCTTTTGTCGTGATTCGTTAACACATTCGTTTAAAGCTGATAGCATGAAGTAACGGGATAACCAAATAAACTGAAATGAAGTTGGACCGCTAAAAAGAGGAAAGGAACGTTTTGCGTGGCGATAGGGCGATGATTAGCAAGGTGAGATAACGATATCAAACAAGTCGGGAAACGGCGACTTCGATTATAGATTTTTCATGTTATATGTTTAAAGCTACTTCGTTCTGTCGCGACGAAAAGATGTTTAGATTCACAAGTAAGGAAATAATCAAAACTGGATCTACCAGCCACCAAATGTTCGAAATGGCTTACTTTCAACTTCATCAAAACTCGTTAAAGAAATGATTGCATGATATGTACCGTTCATATACTTCATATAGATTTTCATGTTTTCTTTCTGAAGTTGCTTCAGCATAATACAATTTCAATAATTAACAAAAACCCTTTTTTGTGTAAACGTTTCAATTTACTCATGCATACACATTGGCGGCTTATTTCTTGAGAATTCCGAAAGTACATGAAATAGGAAACCTATTTATTTGGGGATAAAGAAAGAAAAAAATGTTTATCATGATGTTATCTTCGTAGTAAATGACTGAATGATTCAATTACTACCTTTCAATATAATAGAATCAAATACTAATGAATAAGTGCAAAGTAATGAATCAGACTGCACCATACAATTTCTTCTTTCTCCTTTTAAGACTTACCAGTGATTCTAAGGTTATCACATTTAAAATCTAGGTGACGATAGAGGAAAATCCAAAACGATTGTTTACATGGTGCAAATAAAAGCTGATGATATGAAACGGGCACACCCTAGAAAGAAACGAGACATATATACTGTTTTTTTTTATAATCCCATACATGTTAAAGCTAAGTATTATTGCAAAGTGATCAAAATCTGAAACTGATATTGATTGGTTGATATTTCCTACTGTATTTTCGTCTATCTTTTGATCTTGTTTCACAGACGATAGTCAATGTATTGTTAACGTGTAGCTATGTTATAATATGATATGTAAAATTGCTCTTCTGCTCCAAGATATTTGTAGTCAAAATATTTAATCATAAGTCAACATATATTCTGCCAGCCCTTCCTAGTTTGAATTATCAATTAAATACGTAAAAAAATAGTTTGGTATCAATGACTCAAAGAATAACTCGTCATAATCAAGTAACAGCGAGATACAGTGTGCATCAGAGCTATATTTGTTGTACGTTCATACAATGTATAAGGGAGGTGTCTCTTATCTCGTTCATCTCTTTGTAAGTTTTTTACCAAGTGCTGGTTGAGCGAGATTTATTCTTGCACTGAAGTGCTGCTCCCAGTTCTTAGATAACTTAAAGATAAAGGCAACATTTATGTAAAAGTAACTCGGTCTTTGCAGTGCGCGAGGGCTTCTCTCTTTTGAAGTTCGATGTTTTCCGAAACGCGGTTTAGAATGTACTCATATATTTAATATTCCTCTGAAATTGCTATCGATTAACTTTTAAGTCCTTCCAGGGCAAACAAAAATAAAGCGTATAGTACACATTTACCTTTTTATGGTTTGATTATGCTGTGTTAAATTTGTATTAAAGTTCATATTCACATATGTAGTCTCTTGTACAGTCCTCGGGGTTGCAAGTGGGAGACAGTGCAGGTAGATCTTTAGTCCTAAAAGTTCTACTTAAGCTGCAGATCACGTCTTAATTTATTAAAAGGATGAAAAAACGGTCTAATGTTGTTTAATTTATAACTTTACAATTAGCGATCGTTTTTCGTACTCAGGATATTGAATTGGGGCTGGCGAAATGGAATATGTATGATGATGACACGACTACAGCTAAAGGAAAGTTAGATATATTTACGGCTCAACAGCATTTTTGAGCTCTCGATGTAAGTTGAACCAACGGTTGTATCTAAAATCAAAATCAAGATTTTATCACAAGATATTGATTGTCTTGAACCTTTCGCTGGGTAGGAATATGCGCTATGGGAGTGAATGCTAAAAGATAAGACAAAGAGTGCAAAAATATTTGATCAAGATAATCGAGCAGTCGTATAACAGTTTAAAGTCCATCGGTATTGCTAGTAAATTCCGGTACATGTTCTTAATCATAAAAGGTTATTTAAAACTGTAAATGCAATTTAAAATGCTGTCAAAGTGAGGTATAGATTATTGGGAACGAGGGAATGATTTGAAAATGCTTCTAGTGTGTTCTATTAAGTCAACACTTGCTGATGGTCATCGTATTTAAGGAAAGACATCTTAATTCCTGCTTTGCTGAGAAACAAGTACCGGTATCTTTGGGTATAAAATGCCTACAACCTATTCTTAAACATTGATTTTCATGTTTGGTTTTATGTTACAACATTAACATGTATCGTATTAAATCCAAATCCGAATCGGGCTAGATAATATCTGTAATAAGTTTCTATAAAAACTCGGTCATTTAACATTATACACTGGGCATATTGTTGTGAATTGTGGTCCATGGAGTATACAATATACGTCATTTTTTCTTTCCAATTTACGAAACTGAACACCGCTAGTAGGAATGCTTAACAGATCATTTACATTAAATACAATGTAGTAGTGCACACATTGTTGCGCTGTATATATCACTAATAATGATTATCATATGATTATGATAAATAAACAACAAGAAAATACCAACATGTCAACATAAACATAATCCAAATTCAAATCCCATAAAACAATGGCAAAACATGAACAAAAGAAAGATTTATTTGAAGACTCCTTAAAACGTAGAAAGGGAATAAGATCGGGTGTTCGGAAGAGACAACTGCCATGTTAACCTGGGTTCAGGCAAGTAATGTCATGTTCTCAAATAAGAACAAGGTATACAACAACGGCAGACAAACGCAATGTAGGGTTGTTTGTTTCTGTTACACTGCTTTGTTAATAACTGGACTGTATATATGGTAATACTTGAGGAAGAACCATTTTCGTATCTTTTCTGCTCATTGAGATAGTGTGAAATTCAATTGCCACAACCTTTCCTACACTATATACCAGTATATAAATACAATTTGTAACAGGACATGTTTACCTGTTTATTGAAAACAAATCCTTGTTTATAGACGACATCATGCAGTAATCATTAAAACACAAATAAAAATTTACATTACCTAGTGGAACACTTTTCGGCTACATAATGATATCATATCATTAATGACATCATATTAGACTTAATAGTCGTCAGAATGTGCAACCAATATAATTATTTATGCTTATATTTCAGAGAAACCATATCGCTGTCATGTGATCAGGAATGTTGTTTTCATGAGTGAATGCAATTTCGTGTGAAAACGAATTGCTATACAATTTGATGGCGTCACCAAATTTACATTAATTTTTTACAAATTCAAAGTTTGTAGAATGTTAGCTTGCATATAATACAACTAAACAAGAACAATTCCCTGTGTAGCATATGTACGTCACACCAAATGTGGTGCTACTTGTGCCCTGTATTATATAATTCCCTATGTCTGTCCTCGTGTAATGATTTTCTGGTGACATATACAGTATCAAGTACTTTGTGTAATCTTTCCTGGGCACCCTGTACTGTGTTGACACATGCATTGTATATTTACCCTATCCTGAATTCTTCAGTAACCTTTACTATGCCTCAATACCTTGTACTGTACATTCCCTACTATGCACACTGAATCTACACCATGTACCTCTGTATATGTTTACACCATTTACTATATACATCCTGTACTATTTGTCCCAGTATTATGTTCTAAGCATCAGCACTGACTCTGTTGTTCACATATGCACCCAGTATTTTGTATCCTAGTACTCTGAACTGTGTATCAGTATCCTGTACTCTATGCACCTCGCACTATGTGATCTAGTACCATGAACTGTGTATTCTGTACTATGCATGCACCTGGTCCCACTTTCATGAATCTTTCGTAACCTAAGGAATATTCCTTAGCTTAAAATTGACAGTTGGAAAGCATAAGGAGCCTTGTACTCTGTGCTCCAGTTACCTGTACTGTGTATCAACACAATTTGATGCGTCCCGACACTTCGTATTATGTAATCAAGTACCCTGCCTTGTATATCACCACTCTGTTATGCGTCCAAGCACTATATACATTTTACCATGTGTTCCATTGTTGTGTACTAAATACTGGTCTTCTATACTACGTTTGAATACCCTGTATCATGTGCCCCAGTGACCTGACCCGACATCCTTGACAACTTTGCACTAAACGGAAGAAAAATGTCACTTTTAGGAATCGTATACCGTTTTTAGAATTATACGTTCTTGGCTTTTTGAATGACTTCATATATTATCTGTAGGGATTTACTGCTTGAGGGATGATGGCGAAATGAGAAGAGGAGCTCGGATCTTCTCTTTTTATAGGCAGTCACTTGCAATCAGAAGACAGCATTGCAATATTTCAAAAAAGTAGTTACATGGGTTTTCAAGCGAACCATTGTTTCTAAATAAACCCTGTACTATTGAATGAAGCAACAAAGTTCCACTTCTGTGACGTAATATAAGGTTCCTATACACACACGAAATAAACATGTATATGTCATGCTTCAGTTTCTATACAGATTTATGTTCGTTTGCCGACTTCTATACTCCAACCGTGTCATTTAAGGAACTACACAAGTCATGAAGAGATCATATTACTACTTTTTACATGTAACCTCCGTCTTCGTTGTTGTAGGCATTGAACGCATTCACTTTTATCGCGAACTACGATATATGTTTCTGGTGAAAACATGTTATATGCAAATCAAGATAGTATTTTCTTCTCTTTTCCAAAAGTGACGAATATTGTTACTGCATTTTTTCTTACATGTACTGAACAGCGGACCCGGTTTGTCACATGGATTTTCTAGCATGATGTGGGTTCTTTATACGATAACGACTACTCATGATCCATCAAAGCTCGTATAAACGTGCTAAACAAAAGTCTTTAACTGAAATTGACCATTTATGTGGTACGAATATTTATTAACCTGAAAGGTATGTGTAGTAATCAAAGGTTAAAAAAAAAATTGAATGGTTGCAAAATATTTTCAGATTTGCTTGCCTAATGAGACTGATGTCCCTCGTTTCTTCAAAGAAAAAACTATCTTTGCAACTGCCTTTTCATCAGTGTTTCTCCAAGGAACATCATGCGCTTTACCATGGATGACTTTCAACGCAAGACCATAATGAACTTAGCCATAGCAACTGCGAATGTACACTATCAAAGGATTGACAAATCACTTTACATATCTCACTTTCAGTAACGGATAATCTATTTCAGTTTTATCGAGCGTTCACCTACATATGACACTAAAGTATTTAGAGAACACGTCATAAATATTATGTCGGGTATAAGCTTCCTTGAACCGCTAGGGAAAGCAGCGCATATAAATTGAGGTAGTAACTTTATATTGATCGGACGTAACCAGGTATCAGCAAGTGTTTCCTAAGTTAAATTTATATATCTATATATAGATAGAAGTACTGTTATATGTTTGTGAATATCACACTGTTTTAGCACAAACTGAAACTGTTATATCAGTTGGTAGGTCTCTTCGAAGGTTACAAATGCCATGTCAAATTAACTTAGATCACTAAAATTACAAGACAATATTAAAACATATCTGTAGCATGATTGGGACAAAGAGATGCTCTTAATTCTTAATCCACAAGAGTACATCGTCAACACTTGATAAAAATGAAACTTTTTTCCCACAAGTTGCTTTCGCAACAGACAATCGCTACAAAGTGACGTACATTGCATACCAAATGCGTTGCGTACGTGTAGGTGAAACAAAGTATTTTGCGTCAACCCTTTTAGCGTCTTTGACATTGGCCGTACTGATGCTAAACCATATATTCTTGGTTCTGGTGACTTTCATGCACTTGATTCGATATGTGGAAGTGCTATACTAAGTACATGACCATCTGCTAAAAAATACACAACACCACAAAAAACAATGTCCTTGACCGACATAGATTTGTTGCTGGGCTGCTAAATTGGAAATCACATTCACATTAGCAGTTATTGATTTAACCTCGCGCACAAAGACCGTTCTTAAGCGGCCATATGTTAGAACGGTGAGCAATATCAACTAAACATTACGCAAAAGTATTTGACGTCTTCATCTCTACGTGTAATACAACAAGGGCAAACATGGGACTAGAGAGATTGTTATTAAACAGTCGTTAATTAGAGTCGTGAACAGCATTTGTTGTAAGGAATACTTTTATTTCCCTTAATGCGAGTAGTCATCAAAATATATTAAAAACCGACTGGTCTTATTCTTGGGGGAAAATCAGACAGAAGAAAACGTCTTGAATATATCGAATGCAGTGTAAGAGTATCATATCATTCACGTTAATTTCAATTTATGTCCCTACTACACAAAATATAATAATGTAGTTTATTGATAAAACTACAAAATCAAAACTGAAGATCACATGTATCAAACACGCAATATCTAGAAAAAAAAGATAAATGTGTAAATACGGTTTCTCCATCAACACAAGGCAATTAATGACGAGAAATTGATATCGCAAACAAAACGTATTCATATGAAAAAAAATGTAATTGATCGACGAGGTTACCAAGTTATAGAGCGTTAAAATGCAAGATTATTAACGAGATCCAATGTGAATATACATAAATTGAATCCTCGAAGCAAAGGAAATTACGGCACGAAGAAATGATTAATGTAGTGATAATAAACAAACCATCGACAGACTTAGCACAGTATGGTGACCGTCCAGCTCCATTAAGATATCCAGTGTGTAGCTCATTGTGGATATTACCATCGAGGCAACCACAGACCGCCGCTATTTCAGTCTCTTTGCAGTCTAACAGGCATGCCTAAAACAACAGTTATTAATATATACATAATGCATATGAAGTCCAATACATCATTGGGACCATTTTGGCCAAGCTATTGATATAGGAATCCAATTATTGGACGGAAACTAACCGTTTATACAAACTAATTTTCCTTTACCCAAGCATGTATCAGACCAAAATTTGACAATATCATGCAATTCCTGAAAAACAAGAGAGATTTTAAAGAAATCCATAGATTTTCCTCACTGGGAGGGGTGCCCCAGGCCACGGGCGGTCCAGATCCACCATTTATACCAAACTTTTTCCCTGTTTCCCAAGAATGTTTGAGACCAATTTTGTTGAAAAAAGTCTTTCATGACGAGTAGCGATTTCATGAAAAACTCATAAACGACGGACGGGCGGACGAGGGATGCCGTGGTATCCTTAGAGATCATTTGGCCCCTCGGACGACATTTGTTATCGCACATCTATCACATTCTATCACACAGATGTGCAATTCTGTTTCGTGAAAATTTAAGAATGAAATATGAACAAGAGTGGATAGCGTTTACTCTTTTTCTAAATATATAAGAGCTCTTCCCTATTCAAATTATATGTTTATAGGTCATACACATGTAGATCTATCAAATATAGACTGAAAATGTGTTTTGTTCACAAAGTAGCAAGACGTAGTGTACAAACGGAAAATGAATGATTTAATAACTTGAAACGCAAGAAGAAATGTCATTTCATTTACATTCCTTCTGTATGGTTTATATATTACTTTGCAACAAAACAAACCACTAATAGGCAGGTGATTTTTATTTTTGTGATTGTTACACTGCAGACCTAAACCGCATGCAGGTAACGTTTGCTGACTATATGAGGTGTGAACCGGTACATTAAGAGACTGATTAACGCCGGGTCCGATTGTATTTTGATAACTGTCACTGCTGAAATTACTTTTCCGTTAAATTTTCAATTCGCAATAATAAACCATTTTTACTAAACCGCACAAAATATGCGTTCCTATCACACAGTTGTGCGCTAGGTTTTGGTGCTCAATGACGTGGATATGATAACGTATGTTTCAATGATGCGACTTAAGTTATTATGAATAATAATAATGACAATTATCTAAAGTTCCTGCTTTAATAATGTATATTATGATAAAAACAATTTGTATTTAAATGTTACACCAGGATCTCAAACATGTACATCACCCGCTTACTCAAGGTAGTGATTCGATGCCCGCACCATTGTCTTTCAAATAAAATGTAACTTAGAGAAGGAAACAATGTTATGTCGTGAACGCGAAATGTATGAGCACTGTAAGTAGATAGCATAGAAGTTCTTATAATACAACCAGTAACAGATTAGAGTGTGGCGTTTTGATGACTATACGGTAACCTTCATCTTATAACACAACTAGTAGAAGGTTAGAGTGTGACGTTTTGATGACAATACGGTCACCTTCATTAGACTATTATTATCATTGTTTCATTCTTAACGGCCCGTCAACGCATAAAAGGTCATTAGGACTATTAACTGGTGAACCACACCAAAGAGGAAATAACATCAAACAAACTAAACGGTAAAAGACAAATGATAAAAATCTTAAATGGTTATACTATCACAAACGATTAAAATGGTAAGTCATATTCTAAAATATAGACCAACATCGTTCACATAACCTAGAATTTTATCAATCTCAACAGTTTCACAACGGGTCTTTAGACTTGTAATGTTACGATAAAAGAAGCTCAATGCAGTCAAATAAAAAATGTGTAACGTTGAATGGCTCATCACATCCTATGCATCGAGGATTACCTTTCAACATATATAAATGTGTAAGTTATATATGGCCCATCCGAAGACGGACAAGGACAACTTCGTCTCGGTGGTTGTCTCTGTAACATGGAGACCATTCACCGATGGTTGGTTTCAGACGAATGACAAGTGCCGAGCGTATTAGTACTGACGTACATAGTGCAAGAGATGGTAGGGAACTTTTTCGGTTGTTATATAATCCTATAACCTCAATCGTCCTTATTAAGTGCTATTTTCAACCTTAGTGTACACAAGATTGTATTAATGCTGATTTCTTACCATCTCGTGCGCGATGTACGTCAGTGTTAGTTCGCTCCACACAGGTCATTTGTCTGATAAAGATGACCTTGTAGATCTTCTACTGATTATGTTATAACAACTTCTATTCTCTAGACATTACAAACCTGTAGAAAATGTTCCAAAATACTGTAAGGATATCTTATGTTGATTTTGAATAATTCTCCTGACTACCAAGAATCAAGTAATACAGAAAATGTTGAGCATAAAACGACTAACACAAATCAAGAGCAACTACAGTTTGCTTTTCAGTATTGGTGTAGATTGAGAAAGTCGGGCTTTGTAAGACATGATTCGGAACTAGCAAATGAATTAGTCTCATGTTCTGAAAGCCGTCTGTTACATTTCATAATGCTAACGTAACTATTTCAATTAACTGTGATATCATGAACAGTGATCATTGGGGACTATATGAAAGGAATAAGATGGATTTGTGGAGTATTTTAGAGACATTTTATATCTTGTTCCAGAAAATGAGAAAACCATGTGTTGGTCGATGTAAAGACACGTTTATTATAGGTCTTGACAAATTGTCTCATCGAAGCGTATTTCTAAAGTAGACTAATCACATCATGCTTGTGTTCACTCATGAACTTCGTTATTAATAGCATGTGTTCAGTGATTAAGTATCTGTTGAGGCATATGCAAGCAAATAGAGTTGGTTAAATGTTGTAGTGAGGGATGATGTAATAGTTTTACACTGATGATGTTGAATATTTATCTAGCAAGTTAGTTCTGCTTATTGCCAGGTTACCTCGGTTTCCAGAATAAAGATATAAATGGATTCAACTGTAGGCATCGAATGATCTGACGGACGTATGGAACATATATTTGACTGGAAGTTTTGCACAATTCTATATAAAATAAATTCCAACGAAATATCAGACTTTTGCGTTTTGATATACTTTGCTAACAATAGTTATACTTTTTTGCCAAAATATGGAAGGCTAAATATTATGTTAAGCGGAAGTTTTTCCTTTGAACTACATTTTAAGGGGAGGAGCAGTAACATCGTGATTCAATTTTTGGCTTCAACAATTTGAAAAATGTTTCCGTTGTTTGGAAACTTATCCTGAATATAACTCTGGCAGTGTTGGGCAGAATTCGACAGAATTTTGCATCATTACAAATCGCAAATGTAACATACGTGAATGTGGACTTGGTGAATCAATTGTTCTTGAATTTTAGGACCCGAATATTAATATTTCTGCCATTGATTTCGGTGAAAATTAAAAATCGTTATACACATCGACTCTTTTTATAATTTCCAAACATTTTTGCTATAACTTCTTAAATTTAATTCACAATAATGTCAAAGAAAAGAATTTTTCATTAGCTTTGGAGATTTGCAGTTGCCAAATCAAGTTGAAAATTAGCATTTTGAGAATATTCCTTTCTTATCCTCCCACTATTTTTCTTTTGCATTGTAATGTTTCAAAAACAGGATGTGCTGAATTAAAAAAAAATAAAAAGATCTACAGTTAAAAATACCTATTTCTATAACACACGTTATGACGACTGTAGTTTCTGTCATGTAACCTTTTCAAAAATCATCCCCAAAATAAAGTGGGTTTTTTCGACATTTTTGTCGTCTTAATTTCATAATCTTTAAAAAGTAAAATAGACATTTAACACAAAAACAGCAAACCTTTCATAATGATATAGCCTTATGTTTATGTTGTAGTAAACGTACCTGGCTACTATACCGGATATTTGTAGAGTGGTTTCCATCCTGTTGTTTTCCAAAGAACTCTGTCGGTAGACAGGTTCCATATGGTTGCCCTAATCGGCTTATTTTGGTCTGTAAATGTAATGGTAAACATCCTTTTCAATAAATATTCAATAGGTTTAGAACACAATAGACTTTTACAGCTTGTCCGTAGGGAAGCCGCAATACTGCTGCCACTCGGCAATCAACGAAAGTGGAATTTGCAAACAAATAAGCACATCGCAAACGAATTCTGTACTAAATGACTTTGGCAGCTACTATACCGTCAAACCTCAATACAATACAAAGATCGAAAAATGTTGTTTTCAAGCTTTTTTTAACTAAAAAGGCATTATAACAAAATTGAATATATATCATGTTTTCTTTACGTCTATGGCAAGAGAGAGAGGGAGAGAGAGGGGGGGGGGGTAACCTTTAAACCTCTAACCAACATCCACCACAATATTTCGATGGATGCATGTTGAAGAATGCTATTGTATTATTGTTGTTTCCATTTCAAAAATCCATTTCTTATTTAAAAAGATACCTTGGTTTATATAAGAAAATCGAAATTATTTATTTTCCCTACCATTCGAACGCCCAGTGACGTTTCGTATCCCGGAGACAAAGTTATCCCCTCTTCCGCCGGAAGTGGAAAATTCCCATGTTGATGGATGACAAGACGCGCTCCATAGCCGTAAGTTAGATGAGGAATGGCTTCATGGGTCTCTAAATTAAGTGTCATCTGAAAACCTTTTTTTCAAAATTCATAAATAATGAAAATAAGTGCAGGCACTCGTGTACTTGTCAGCGTAAAATCGACACTACCAATTTGATACCCAACTCGGAATGGCAAATGTGATAGACAGTTTTCAAGTTAATGTGTTTAGAATATTAAGAGCCATTACTTATCAACACTCATCTCAAATGTTTGATTTATGAAAAACAGATGGATTCGTATGACATAAGTTACCGTCTTATTGAAAAACGTCATAAACATATCTATATTCGATAATGAAATAATTCAAAAGTATCAAGTTTCATCTGAGTAAAATCGTAAGTGATTATAGAATATGGTTTCGTTACGATTCAAAATCGGTAATAAAAGTAGAACTACATCTAATTCGTGGAGTCTATAACATGAGATAAATAACTGCAAGAGTAATAGATAGAACTAGTCAACTTACCTGAATATAAACATAGACTCGCAGAAGGAGTGTAATGAAGAAAGTATATTGATGTATAGCAGATGTGCTTGCTAATATTGATCGATCCTTGGCGTATAAGTCTTAGCATATTCTTTTTATGGACCATCAGTACACAAACCAATAAATGGTGGAGAAAAGGATATAAAGTAGCAAACATAAAAAAATTATTGCAACCATGTGTATACTCCAAATAGACAACGTATATAGATATGTGTAGTCCTCATACATACTCCTACAAGAACAAATTGTTAACTAAAATAAGACTTTTTACGGTTGCTCTATGTGGAACAGATGAACACCTTTACAGTAATGTGGACCTTTTTAAGATATTAACGGTTCATTTCTCTTCTTTAATTATCATTATTATCTCACTTGGGTCAAAGTTTTTTGGAAAACGTGTCTTTGATCCACGATCACGGTCACAGCTATCAAAATTTGTTACGACATTCAAACTATTAAGTCGGCTGCAGGTCTTCAAAGCCATGGTTATGAGAGTAAGACATGCTATTTTATAACAATAATTTCCCATAACGCAAAGGTTTTCAAGGACGAATGATCTTGACACGTTTTCAATGTAACAGGGGTCAAATTTGTCGTTTAGAAAAACAAATGTCAGTAGTAGATAAAGAACTTTCAATCTCGAGTGTTATAAACTCGGTAGCTTTCAAGGCAAATCGTATTATACCAGTTGAGTATATATACTATGAATGCGATAAAAGCAATGAAACACCAGAAGGGCACAGGTCCATTGGACTTTGTTTTTAAGTGAATAACATATGTTTTTGCTTATTCCTGTATCTTTCTGTTCTGAGTCTACGGCCGGAAAGACACTTTGTCCACAACAAGAACCATTCTAACATGTATTTCCCGTGCAACGGATGTATATTAGTGTGTATAGCAGATGCATTCTCATAATGAAGTACACATGTTCGCTTGCAACGCTGATGTGCAAATTTATACGACTGATGTCCGCGTAAAACTACCGCTTGTACTAATATGTTTTTGCTATATCTAATTTAATGTCAAGTGTTTGCATATCTTTGTACGATGATGTATGGAGTACGTGTCATTCTCACCATATTCCGGTCCGCTCCTGGTGGCGACATAGGACGATGATTCGAAAGTGTAACAGTTGCCATACTCTTTTGACACGTGCATACGTTTAGGCCTGCACACAAAGAAAAGTCTCAATATTATTCTTACACTTTTTTGTTACAAGGCAAGAGCCTATTTGTGTAAAGATTGCAATAGAAATCCTAACATAGAAACTAGCTTTAACGCCGACCACACTGTTGCGACGAGCGCTATTGCAAAACAATGATAGCTGTAATCAGTAAGGAGTAATTAAAACATGTCACTTTCGGCAGCGAGTTATCAAATAGATTTAGCATTACTAGCGTGATGGCATCATAACAAGGTGGACAGAATAGGGAGTAGAGTTCATCCATTTGAAATTATTTAACAAAATTAGATGCATCTCTTTCACCTAAAGTGAATATGTTTCTAACCAAATGGTTGCTCGCATTTTCATTTCCTACTTTAATTACAACAAACAAGGCGTAAATGAAAAACTGAGAACAGAGACAATCGCAAGATAGTGAATCACCCTTTTGAAAATCTGTTTTATCTCACCGTTTGCAGGCGCGTCCAGCGAAAGTACAATGCAGTAGCATCTTCTCTATTTCATGACCCATGTAAATTCGTTCACTCCTGTGAAAACAATGACATTTTACAGTTGATTTGACTCGCCGATGACTTTTATAAAGTTCGCTTTACGAGATTCATGGTATACATTGATGAGTATTAGAAATATCGATGCCATAAATGTGTCAAAATATTTATAGATAGACCAGGAATAAACTTAATATACAAACGAGGATCTGGGACACTTCTGACGAAAGTAGAAGCAATAAAAACAAAATTGAACAGTGTCTCACATTGATATACCCCTCTACCTGATCAGTTTTATTTAACAACATATGATTAAGGTATTCATGATATGTCTTGTACGTAAGCTGCATGTTTTTCTTATTCCAGAATCGCTCAAGGGCGACCTTTGACCTTCAGCATTGATCTGTAACCGCCACATTTTCATCAAGTATACAATTTGGTGCAATGCATTGGTATGAATGTAAACTAAATTTGTTTAGGGGTTTTTGTAATATTCGGCACTCAAACTAGATATCTTAATAGCAGTCAAGGTTGTCGTTTGACATTTATCCTTGGCTATAGCAAAAATGATCAGCTGTAGATTGTGATTTTATATAAGGAATATGAACAGAAAATGCGATACCTAGTATACAAGTGACCGGGTGATCGTGTGATCTTGAGTGCAGGTGATTGAGAGCATTATCGTGTAAATACGTCTAATGCACAGATGAAATATACTGAGGATGAAAAGGGAAAATAGTCTTGCTTTCATTCAACAACAGTTTTGTTGAACATGGTTGTTTGCATTCCCATGGAAACAAATTTAACCCATCTTTTCCCACAAAAAAACGATACCAGCATGGTTACATAATCATAATCCAAACGCAAATTAGATAAAATATTTGTATAAAGGCAATATTTGTAACTAATAACTGATAACCAATGTCACGTCCTCAAATGAGAACAAAGTATACAACCATTGACCAACCGGCAAACAAGCAAGCCTCAATTACGTCCAGATTCATGTCGCACAAAGACATAGAATATTCTTCAAAGCGATTTAGATCACAACCGTAAACTTTTGCCTCAATTTCCATCAACCTACATCTTTTGAAAGCCCTTGTAACTAATTTGTCAGTCAGTTTACGAATTCTAGCACTACAATCATGATAATGGGAACAGCAATGGGAACAGCCCTAAATATCGAGTCACCTACAATATGTTAACACCATTGGTTGAGGATGCAAGAATGTTGCTATCCAGAAATGGAAAATTCACATCAGGGAAATACGAAATTTCATGTTAGCCGGAAAGTATGGAGTTTTTCTTTTCTTAAAAGATGACACATCAATTTTACGTTTGAATATATTGATGACGCTCCCAATTAGTCATTTCTGTGCATAATGATGACAACTGTGACATAGTCTCTCAATTCTGACTATAGGGTTTTGAGCTATGCAAATTGATGAAAGCTAGGAGGGAAAATTTATTGTCGTTACAAGTATTAATTTGGAAAATATTTCTAAGATAGATGTGCTTGTGATGTTTTGTTATCGCCCTTCTCTTAATTTGATAACGTGAAATTTCTTCAATGGATAGCATTTACATGTCGAGTTTAAACAATGAAGCAGAAAACGCTTTTTCGTCCTAAAACATGTCATAATAAATGGAACCATCTTAAGGTGCTTTACCAAAATTGTGAATTTCATGGCCTCGGGGTCTCACATATCCCAATGGGGAGGGATTAAAGTTTACTACAGTTAATATAGGAAAACTAGATTTTTTAGCGTCATTTGTTTGATTTCCTTTGGAAATGTTTTAGACATGGTTAGAATTATCTGTGAAAGGTGACGACCTGATAGTATGCCCATTTGATCCTGACTGACCCCAGGGGCTGATGGGTGAGGCTGAAAGGGGTCATATTGACTTAATTTTTCTAAAATCTTCTTTCCAACACCCAGATATGGTATAATCAAATAATCTTCATAAATGGAAGCATCTTAAGGTGTTTTGAGTACTAAAATAATGTTGATTATTTCCCACTGGAAACAACTTTATAAGAATCATCAGTATATGAAGTATATGACGTATATGACACTGTCCATATTCAATGTCACTATTTCTGTTTCATGACACTTGATAACTATCCTTTGACCTTTATATTCAATATTCTCAAGTGACCGTCAAAGCAGCTAGGCCTCTTGTTTGACATGCATGTACCTTTACATTAATTCGTTTGATTTCACAGGGAAAAAACTGTAATGAAAGAATACGAAAATGTTGTTTCATGGATTTTTATTTTGCAGGTACTGGCTTTAGATTGTTATCGCTTGGACCAGCATAAACTGCATCATGATAGTGGATATTCAGGATTAATACCTATAGAAAACTAAGGATCAGGGTGGCTAGTGAAGCATCACAGAAATCCTGCCAGATAACCTCTCATTGAGTATTCGTTGATTTTATTGTAACGCAATATGTCTGATATTTGTTCTGGTGAATTACTTTGTGTTGGTCATTCCATAAATGGACAGATATCCAAATCCTTTTATGTAAGTGACTTTTTGATAGCCAGCACTCCATCTGATGACCTTGTGACCATCGCATGGATGATCATACTATATTTTCACCATATTGTGATTTATAGGCAGCTGCAGATACAAAACCTTTGACCTTGAGACAGCTGCAGATACAGAATAATATGACCTTAAGACAGCTGTAGATACAAAACATGGTGACCTTGAGACTGATGTTGATACAGAATATTGTAACTTTGAGACAGACACGTACAACTACTTAGAAAAATGCATTGAATTTATTGGTGATCTCAAAAACTGATCGTGGTGACCAATACGATCCAGGTGATGGTTCATTTGATAGAATTTCAGGCCTGGTATTAGACAATTCGTCAATTTCGGTGCAGCCTCATTATCAAATTGACACATCATGTCAAGATGATAAGATCAAAATCAAATTCAGAAATGTTTAATTCAAGATGGTTGGAGTATCACATGATCAGTGGCCACAGGAAAATGGATGTGCATTTAGGGTCAAAGCTATGGATATGGATGGAAGACCACAAAGGACAAATATGTAAGCAAAGTAATCAGTGATCTTTAATTAGAAAATCACAAAAATAGGTTGGTTGAGGCAAACAAAAGGGGGACCAACGTATTTCGTATTTTGGTACATAAACAAAACTCCAAACAGATAGTTCTCATTAAAGATGTTGTAATTTTAAAATGTTAACATACCTTAACACTCATTTATGTAAGTGCAAACATTATTTTTCAAGTACACTACAGAAGAAATACAGATATTTTTCACTAAAGAGTGAACCAAAATGTAGAGAAATCATAAATAGGATTTTTGCCATTTAGAAAAGGTGTTGTAAAAAAATACAACACATCATTCTAGCATTTGGTCAACTTTACTTTGTAGTTTTTTCAAAATTAATTGTTATATCAATGCTTCTAAAACTGCAATGAACTAGTGTTAACATAAAATCTGGTGTTTAAATGCATTATATTGTTATTCCAGTTGGTCTGTAATAAGTGATATATCATTTTGCATATGGTGTACTTACATCGATCTACTATATATCACATTTTCAGGGCTGTGAAAAAGATTTTTTCATTATTTGAATATCATCATGACCACTTGTCCAGAGGACATTGTTTGATTATCAGTAATTCAGAGTTTAGAGCAAACCAAGATCGCCCTAGAATGTCTGGATCATTGAGAGATGCAGAAACTCTTAGAAATAAGTTTCAGAAATTGGGGTTCTGTCCAATCAAGTCCTCAGATGCGTCAGGAGAAATGATACATCATAATCTGTCTCGGGAACAATTATTGCAAATACTGTCTGATGGTACATATGCTACGTGTATATCAAAATATCGAGTTGTCATCAATCAGTAATTTATCATCTCATTCGGGCATTTTCTTAAACTTTCGACAGCTTTGCTTTATTCATTGGTTGGATCAAGATATTAATCATTAGTTACATTATATCTATACATTTTGACTCGGCTGACTTTTCTAACACTGCACAAATATGGGAAGTGATTGGAAAGAGAGGTGTTTATATGTCACTATGACATCTGGTGATAGAATCAAGAAAAATAAAACAAAGAAATGTTAGATGGTAAGTACATTCAAGAAATGAAGAGAATTTGGCACTGATCGATCACACATATATTGTGACGACCTTGATATTGTGTGTACTTGTGTGTGTGGTGACGTCATAATATTGGTTGACGTTATACACTTAGTGCTTGTGAAGTATAAAAAGTTAATATATAAGATTCAAAACGATGCTAGACATAAGTCAGATGTTTCATCATAATTTATCTGCCTATGTTAATTTAGTACTGACATCTACTGTGAACATTTATGTATTGCCCAGTGGCCAGAGGTATTCTGTCAATATTGATCTACTACACATGTTCATGTATTAGTTCATTCCCTGATGATATAAGTCAATTACCTGAAGCCTATCTAAGCAATTTGTATGATGGTCTGTGTAATTTTACCTGGTTGTAAACAGCCGGATCTATTGCCATTTTTGTGTTCAAGACCTTGTGGACAACTCATGTATACTTCAATAATGTTTACCAGTAAGCTAATGTGTATTAGTCCTTCATCAGTTAATTAACATGGCTAGTATAAATACGACCACCTTTCTAGCCAATATGAATCGGTTCCTGATGGTCAGACAGGAGAGAGCCTAGTCTCAACTGACGGTACCCCGCTCGCTCGGGCTTTTGCCCGAGCAATAACATCTCAACTCTAGGCTCAACTTATGAAATTTAACAGGTTTTTCATTTTACTGGCGCCGAGACCTCGGACACCACTGTAATACAATTACCGGTCATTCATTATCAATTCTACGATTTCTACATTGAAGAACACATTTATAACAAGTTTTCATCATACTTGGAGAAATTTTGATTGTTATCAGTTTTGTGTAAATTCATCTTATGTCAAGTAGAAATAAAAACTTCGTCAAGCAAATTCAGGAAAGCCAGAATGTTGTCATAGCATTAATTACTGTTGTGTAGATTGATCATCTTGCGTATGTTACTGTAAAAAGCTTATGAATCGACAGTTTTACAGTGTAGGGCTAGCTGCAGCTGCTGACTATCATTACCATTATATTACTTTACTGCTGCAGAGTATTAACAAGCAGTATTATTATTTTCTATTTTAGCTACTAATCCGATGCTAAATGACCATTCTGACTATGACTGTTTTCTTTGTGTGATTTTGTCATATGGACTGGAAGGCACAGTGGTTTTTCCAGTAGAAACTGATGATGTATTTCTTGAGTTTACTTCATTCTATAATTTTGCTAAGAAAGCTAAACATTTCTTCATACAGGTGAGTATATTCATTTAAGTAAAACAAATAACTTTTTTCATAAAGACTAATTTAAGTGTAATAAGTTAGAAATTGATGTGTATTATCTGATTTGGATTGTGATGAATCTGGTAAAAAAACGTTTCCATGTATATACAGACTTGACACTTTTAACTTTTAATATTAGATAATGGTATCATCTATAAATATGTAATAAACAGAAAGGAACAAAAACCTGATAGTTGAGAAATGACTATAGTTAAATCCCTGTGAAATGAACCATGGCTCTGATTAGTTGATACATGTACTGTGAACAGAATTAATGATATTTCCAGTAAATTCAAAGAACTCCTATCCAATAGTGACTGCCTTCTTATATTTTATAACAACACTCTGGTTGTGTTAACTCCTATATCCTGCAAATCACATATATCAAATATTTTTATTTCAGGAAACTTACCTCTTCAGACATATTTTCAAATGCATGATTTCGCGAACAGCGGTCTAGATATGGATTTAAATTCACAAGTGATAGGCTATGAGGTATATGGACTCGGATATTGGATGGATTTCATCAAAAGTTGTTTTGGTACAAATAATAACGAAGAATTCAAAATCGCATTTGACTCTCCTTGTGTATTAATGGAATTTTATATATCATTAGAAATATACATGATTTACAGTTAACATAATCTATGACTGAAAAGTATACATTATATGCTACATATGAAGGCTTTTTGTCATATCAAACAGGGATGTACACCATATGAAAGTAATGAAACACAAGCAACAGTGCCATCCTCAGCAAGAGATGGTTCAGATGGATGTGTGATGACAACATCTCTCCCTTTAATGGTAGATTGTCTTGTTCAGTTTTGTGGTGTAGATGGTGCGTATATGTTAGATTTCCCCACTGTAAAAATTACATGGACTCATGGAAAAGTATGTATACATTTGTACAGTCACGGTATATTGGTAATTTATGCGCACCGAATGTTTTTTGTCACGGATAACGGATTTTAATATTTACCAGGGGATAAGGTAAAGTGCTCAAATATTCCTCATACTCTTTATACGGCTATATACATTCAATACAAAATATTTTGGAATTAAAGAAGTGTTGTTTCTATATCTTTCCAGATTATATATCGTCTCGTTCTTGTGGGCAACGTTATCATTATTATAGCTGTTTACATACCTCGGCAAGGAATCGTATTCTTGTTGTAGTTTCTGTTGGAGTATATAAAATTCATCAAGTTCTTCTTGTATTTCCTCTTCATTGATAAGATGATCATCATAAGTGTCGATAAGTGTATCACGGATCTTAAAGTACGCGGTGTCATACACAGTATCGCTGATATTATGCATGCTCTGAAGAAAGTCTTCCAATGTCTCTATTTCATAGGACTCTCCGGATGTATCCTGAAACAGAAAACTATTTCATCAGAAGAAAAATATTTTAATCAAAACCTATGTGTGCCTATACGACTGGTGTAATGATAGGGAAAACCTATCTGTCATGTTTACAAAAAGAGCTAGATTTGCTCGATAACGAAGGAAACTCCGCGTATAAAATCATGTATTTTTACCAAAGGAAAAATGGTGGCTAATAATACTTCAGTATTACAATCATTTAGGTTTCCTTTTAGGGATAATGACATGGACGTCCTCATTTACATTGGATCCTTAAACTTCATACGAAACCATAAAAACAGCTGGCTCGTCTAGCTGTTCAACCAAACCTTTGTCAAAACTACGTACTATCGGTCTTTGTACTATGAAATTTGGGTTACACTCTTATTGTGAAACTATAGAAGTGTAATCAATGGCATGTGAATTGTTTTTGCCAATCTTCAGCGCCCTCTTATAAAGTATTTCTTCATTGGGAACATTTGATTGTTCCACTGTGAACACCATAATACCTCAGTTGTTTCCGTTCCCTTGTTATGAGAGTTTTCTTTTCCACGAAAGGTCGCTGGTTGTACAAACATATGGTTGTGAACTATTCTGAATTACCTTGTTCTGTTCTGCACGATAGGAAAACTGGACGAAATTATCTATTGCACATTGTGCGATTCTATCGCCCAGCTGTGCGATTCTGCTGTGTATTGAATAGTTATGAAGTACTAGCAAGAGTACGAATAAGCGATTGTCAAATTGCAGGGGTACTCATAGAACACAAGCAAATACAAAGCTATAAATCTAAATCAAGAACGGTGGTGTAGATTTAGGTGTCTCGATAATCCCCTCGGCAAATGGATGCCGAAGGCCCTTTAAAGCGGACAAAAAACCATCCCAAGTTTATATAAATATATATACCGTAATTATGCCATATATCTATTATGTAGACATTCGTAGATCGACCAGGTACAGACTGAATGATTATATACATTCGTTGTTTAGAGTGTTTTGTTGGCAAATGCCGCACGTGACCAGTCCTTGCGTACAAACAATCCATATATATACATTATATATGTAAGCAATAAATGGACGTCACTTTTCGTCTCGGCAGTGAATCGTTGAAAATCTAATACCGAGAGAAAGGGAATTTTATCCCGAACGTTCATGCATATACCCATATAAGGTAGTTTTTGTTGCCAGAGGCACCGCATTAGTCACTCTCTGATGTGTGAAACTATACGCTGGAAAGACTAATTTCGCATGGGTTTAGTGGAATTTCAAAAACCTGTCGAAGTAAAAATTACCTTCATAATCACCGATCCCTATGTAATACATCAGTGATCGCTATTAAGTCATAAGCAAAACGAGTTTTCCGTTTTATTTTCAATACGTCATATCAGCCAACCATTTTTATCAATCCGAACAAAATGTGCTATTCTATCACAAGCTTGTATGGTGCGTATGTGCTGGACGCTGTGTGCAAGAAGTGTTTGTTGCGTTGTGCATTACTACAGTTGTAACAATTAGAATTAACTCTGTTGGCTGACTTTACATCACCATTAATGTTGCTTTTCAGTATTTAACTGTTGAAAATACACCACCTTTTATTCCATGTCTTAATTTCATCATGTCCTATGCCGTGCAGGCTTCATAGACACTGATATTGTTGATACGTATTGACGTTTTGGGTTCATATGTACTCAGCGTTAAGTCACGTGACAGGAATTTGGAGCCTCTAAATAGCATTTATGTGATACTTAATTTACATTGCTAGAAAGAGCATTGACTAAACCATTCAAAACGTTACTGTCCGTCTGAAAAAAATTCATGGTTTTATTTTCAAATGACCATTAAACCAATGGGGAAGGTTACGACATTATTTGCATAAGAAATGTGGTATTTTGATGATATATAGCTGAACTTATTTAGGTGGACACTAGAATTGAGATTGTTGGATTTATTCTGTCGACTAATAACACAAAAGGTTTTCTTTCCATAAAGGCTACAAGGTTGTACTTTTGTCACCATTGTCACATATGTTTACTTAACCTAGTCCAACGAACCAGTCATCTAAAACTATGTCGCAACGGCCTTCATTCGTTTGTCTAATTTTCTTCAAAATGCATTCAAAATATAAGCCTGATTGCACAATAGTTGAAAGGATTTTAGCAAATGGCTTTGTCTTATATGACAAATGGGTGGTACTTTTCAAACATTTTACAAAATCTGACCTAAAGTTTATTTGGTTGAAGAGTTACAAAACGTTAACATCACCTAATAAAGAGATATGATCAGCACAGGCTAGGACTTGATGTTTTTCCTTATCAACAAAATCACTAAAGACCAGTGTACTGACCCAATACTTCAATAAAATCTACAACCCGATCAGTGACTAAGTTTCGGATTTCCCAATATGCTATATTTTGTCCGTCAAACTTGGCAATGGGTATTGCCACCAACTTCGCCTGTCCCAACCGACCTTACGAAAGAAAGATCTTTTGCCGCTGACAATGACTTTAAAAAAATAGCCACAGTATAGACAACTAATGATTTGAACTGCATCATGCAGCAGATCTTTCCTTCTGCGACTCGTCCATGATGCTAAGTGCCGAATGTTTTGAAGTCCTGGAAGGTAATAGTGGAAAATATCGAAAAAAGATCAAAAGTAGATGGGGATGGGACCGGGTAGCACTAGTCCTGTAATTAAATAGATGTTGTAATTCTCCGTAGGTCGTCAAGTACATGTGCAAATTTTGAAATTATTTTTCTCTTCCGACACAGGAGTTTAAAACCAGTTTCAGTGATAAGCAGAAAGATCTGTTTTTTATACATGCTATGAGATTGTATATTGTATGGTTGTGAGGAAAAAACGCCTTTTTGTAGAGCAATAGTAAAGTATAGCTATCTTTTCTGTTTTACTTGTAGAATATTGGAATCATACAGATCTGAACATAAAGTTGGGTTATGGTTGGGACATCGAGTGTAACAAACTCTTTTGGAATATCTTATAGCTTTAAAAAAAATGCTTACGTCATCAGGCTGATTAATATCCATCAGTTTCTTCATGATCCTTGTTCCGGACTCTCGAATGGTGGACATTCGTATAGGATTTGTGTTGCATATAGTCACAGACGGAAGTAAAAGTGGGCGTGACTCCACTTTAATAGACGTCCTTATTGGGTACGAGTAGTAATGTGTTAAAATAACGTAAAGCTGGTACAGAAAATATGAGAAAAAGCCTACAACGAACAAAAACCACATCATGCGTCGGCGTGTAGTTCCACTGAACACGCGGCTAACACCATGGACAGAGGATGTTTCTCCCATAGATTTGATAATGGTACCAAGCGTTTCCTCATTGATGTTGACTCTCTCTTTTTTGTCATTGGAAGCCTCTTGTTTTATGCTTTGTATGGATTTCAGAGTATCTGACAAACTCCTCTACAAACAAAACAACGAATAACATTAGTATCTTTATTTACCATGGGCATTTTGCCTTATTAGTTTATCTGTAATTTTAAAGAATGTGGATCTCATCAGCAAACACAATCGCGAAACATCTATCCGTATGTAACTGTTCTACGTTGTAATGAGAGTAGCGAAATAATAGAGCTCCTCACATTTCCAGCTTGACATGATACATACTATTCGTGGGTAAATATGCATCCACCGTACTTGTGAGCGTAAGACCTCTACAATGCAGCTGCAAACGTTAATTTAACAGTGTGATACAGGGGAAGCAACTCTTACATATCGACGCTATTGTTAAACACTTCTTGCAATTATTTGTATAGACATTTAGTGTTATAAAATTCATTTACAGAACAGATACATGTCATTTAGCTCAATATCTCCATCACGCAAGGTCATCCACTTTTTATCAGGTGTCAAGCGCTATACAGTGTAGTTTGATCAGTAAGCGATGTTTAGTAATTCATAGAATATTACTTATATTTATAATCTGGCCCCACAATTTCAAACAACATCAACTGCATGCTTACCCGAAATATTTTACTTAAAAAAAAACGAAATAATTTATCATTGAGAGCACGATGTGTCAAATTGGTCCTGTCTGAATGCTGATACAAGTAATCGATCATACAGAAACAAAGAAAAGTCTTTAACCCGAACTATTTGCTCAAACTAATTCTGTAAAAACTTGAAGGGAAAATGAAAATCATTTTCTCAATTGCAGTCATAGAATCATTTGTACATCCGACGAGAATACCATCACCAAACACGTTTTAAAATGCTTCAATTTTAAAAATTTGTCCAAAATTTGATGCACAATAAAAACTGTTCACACTTAGTTGATTCACAAGATTTGCAGATAATTTCTTACGCTAAGAATCAACACAATGATTTGACTGAAAAACTAGTCTTGCAGAAATATCCGTAAGCTCTAACGCGTTGGACATAGTCAGTATTCCGAAATACCCGATGACTCAAAATTTGCAAAGCCAATACGATTTAAATTTCTACATGAACATTTTTCCATGGAGTTATTGGCAATGTGATGTTACTTGTGCATACTTATATAACTGCCTCCACAATCTACAAAGATTTTATGCGATGATGTTCTATTCCCTATAATAATTTTTTCGTAACATCCCGCACATTTTTGTAACACATTAGGTGGATATTTATTCCAACTGTGTAAAAACATACATGTTATACATGCACCACATGTGATAAAAGTTAAATAAAACTTCAGAAAAAGATTGATCTTCTTATTGTGGTGGAAACAGTTAACAGAATCTCGCAGTTGTAGTACCACAACCATTCATTTTGTAGTTTCTATATATTACAATTTCCGCGGGGAAATAATATGGATTGACAGGCGCACGCACAACATGCACTCACCTCTTATATATTGGGGGGCATTCTAGGAAGGAATCAGAAGATGATAAGTAAAAAGTTTCCAGAGTAAAGAAATTATATGATTATATTAGATACTGTATTAAAACGTTGTTTTCAATGGTCCACATTTTCGTGGGCGTATATTTCTTACAAGTCAGGAAACGGGTTGCAGTTCTCTTTCTTTATTGTATTTTTACGTTGCATGTAATTTTTTTCGCTAATTTATCCATTCTCCAAAACAGTTGACAATAGGATTGTTCGAAAATGACATGTTTACGAACCAACATTTATCAAATATAACATACCTGTACTCGCTACAAACCAAACCAAACCATATCTTTTCAAACACTGACGGACAAGTTACCTACCTTCCTGGTTGAACGTGGAGTTACTTTTATGGTGTGTATCTTCTTGGTATCCAATGGTTGGAGTTTAGTGAACATATCTGTAACAACTGTCTTCTCTCTCATCTTTCTTTACTACACTAGTCACTCCAACGTTGATTAAAGGTGTTCTGGTCAATCTGATATTGATAATTCCTTTATTCTGGTAACCTGCGCATCATATATAGCCCACTATACGTGAATATTAATTATTAAATAGTAGTAAATTGGTATTATCGGGTCATTATCGAATGTAACGCGTAAGTATCGTTAAGCCTTAAGGTCTCTCCGACAGAAATGCTAGTTCGTGATTATTCTCACGTCACGTCAACAAATAAACTTTGAAACTGTGAAACTGTAAAATTTCATAAATTTCTCATTTGTCGCGTAAGCTTTTACATTTATACGCGAGTAAAAAAAGGTAACATGATATTATTGATATGGGAGCATAATTACATTGTATGTTAGGCATTTAATGTAATGTCATTTTGGTCATTTTCACTACTACTAAGGGAGACGAACTAACAAAAAATATATATACGACGTGGACGTCTGTTCGTCGGAGTAACGATATTGTGAATAGCATGTCTGCATTACACCAAATATATACCGACCGATACATGTAAAATAAGATGTAACACTCACAAACTTGTGAAAGCTGTGGCGTACGTTACAGATGAATTAATTATAATTCTAAATGTACCCAGGATTGTGAAAATACCGGATCCATATCTATACAGTCATGACTTGAAATCCGCCGAGGGAGACCTGATGTAACTGGAGGATGAAAACCAAATAGTTGATTCCCCAATGATTACGTTTGTTGAAAGCATTCAGGAACTATGCCCTGGCCTGGTCATTTATTATTAAGTATTGGCCATTATTTGGTAATTATCATGAATGTCATAAACAACGGTGACTGCATTAATAAAGGGATGGAGCTGAGAGGCGTGGTTTGATATTTTGATATACATTGTATGTAGAATTCATCTGATCTATTATACAAAAATGATTGCTGTAGAATATTTCTGCTAGATGGAGAATAAACTATATTTAGCTTGGCATTTAACTGCAATGGACATAAAAGTAACATGGAAAATATCAATATATCAACAGAGTCATCATTCAAACTCTGAAAAGTGATTTTAATGCAGCATGCTCTGGATTCGTCCGTTCCTGGCATAATTTCCTCTCGAAATATGTAATGTTATCGTGAAATTCCTATCGCCGTGTTTTAAAAGTCTTGTTACCGATTATAGTCCCCGAAGGTCATTAAACACAACTTTAGCTTAATTGAATTTGGACGTATTTGATGGTCGTTTATTTGTTTATCGGTTCCGTTGTTGTATACCTTATTTTCATTTGAGAACCTGACATTACTTACTTGCATTGACCAAGATTTACATGACGAGTGTCGTAGATGGAGCAGAAGACGCCTACTCTGCCGGAACACCTGGTCCTATTTTCCTTGTACTTTTTCAGGAGCCTCTGTGTAGATCTTTCTTTTGTTCGTATTTTACTGTAGTATTATTGAATTTAAGTTAAAATTTTGGTTATGCTAACGTCTTGGTATTTCTTGTTTTCATAACTCGGAGGGAGGAAGCAAATGCAGTATGGTTCGACTTTGTAAAATCTCCACAATGTATTTAAACTAAACAGTATGTGATTGTAATGGCTGCTTGATGTTGGTAAAGTGTCCCATCAATTAGTGATGGATCTGCGGCAAAGAAAAAGTTATTTTTATTCTTTGTCTCCGTATGAAAATTTCAATTAAATGATTAAAGTGATACACTTGATATATTTATAAACATTTTTACTGAAGCTTTTATAAGAATATATAATTCGTTTGGATAATTCTTCTTAAAGAGATACTTTGTAGTCACAAAAAAATGTATTCTACATGTATATAAGAAATGCAAGATCGGTACATATTGTTCAGACTTTGATGACTGTTTTCTCGTATGTAAATCTATTTTGATGTTCTACATGTTAAATTTCGTTTCAAAAAAACTGTTGTTATTTTTTTCTGTCATTTGTTGTCTTAAAACCCCATCACTTTTATATGGAGCATTTTCTGTCATGGTAATATTGCTTTTAAAAAACAATTCATAGTTAGCTGTTACGGGTATTTGCGAGATTTATCGGACATGGCTATCAGGGAGGAATCGGGGTTAATGTTTTTTCGCAGAGTTCCACATCAAACAGACCCGTGAGCTATTTTCAACATCACTCTGTACGGTTTCTGTGGCAGCCCCAGTTGCAGGATAAATGTAAATATGATGTGTTTAATTCCAGCTTGCATCAAAAGGTGCTAGCCATTTCAGGTAATCCGGATATACATTTCAGCTTCTTGCTTGAAAGTTACTTAGACACACCGCCGGAAGTGGAAAACTCATGGCCTCATCATGTTCAAGCGCTTGTCTACTACCACCGCTTCGCTTCGTTACTGATGTTCACGGCTATATAAAGAATTCACTGTTGCAATCATTGGTATGGTAAAATAAAAAAAACAAAGCCAATTTAATTGGGTCGTCATTAGGGACGGTATTCTGTGGTGACACACACAATTGTATTTCAATCATTATTGGTCAGATTTCAATTAGTATCGCCTGGACATCTATTTCGGTCCGATATATATTTTGATCCGATATATATTTCAGAACGGCCACTTTGTCGAGCCCTATCACATAAACTAACGACTTTCGTGACATTGCGTTCGGCTTATTTTAATTATTGTAGCATGTCATACTCCCAGAAAGAATAACAACCTTAATACACATTTTTTGTTTGAAGGCAGTTCATTGACAAAGCACAGCTAGCGAAGAATTATTCTTAAGGAGTCCAAAATTAATGCACCAGGTATACATATATGTTAGTGTGGACCAGAAGATTTGTTACATTTGTTGAAAGTTATGCTATGTCAGTGAATTGCAACCAAACAGATACATAGATTTATTGAGATGTGTTCATTCTGTATTCCATCAATACTTATTCAATATTCTGATCAGTCCCCTACACCCCAATGCCCCACCAACCCCCCTACAAAAATACATCAGATTGAAGCGAATTAAGAACTTTGTTCACCTGATATGAAGGGTAGGCATGCATAGGCAACTGCATTCTGCTTTCTGTTGACAACTCTTAGTAACAGGGTTTTCTATAAGAGCCGGTCGCCGGCTACTTTGATCATTTGGCGGCCTACAACAATTCAGTTCCATAATAATGTTCCGTACACGACTACACATACAAGGCAGGCCAGCCTCCTACTTTCACTACACAGCCTACTACTAACAAAATTATGGAAAACCTTGAACAGTACAATGGCTTTTCAAAGATATTACATAGAACTATAAAGTTAGAATAGGAATAACACCATGATGTGGAAATTTCAAGATAACATCATGTGGTGACATTAGAAGTTATATGTGCTCTGTGTATATTTTTTTTTTAAAGTTAAATTTTTCTATTGCTAAGAATGTTTTTCTCAAATTATCCGTATTTCTTTGTTGTTTTTTTTATCAAACTACTTGTATAGACTATTCAAATAAATTTATAGTCCTCTTTTCATCTGTTTGTCTACATCTTACTACTTAATTCAAAGAAAAAATGATCCCGTTAAAATCAGTGTTTAACAGTATTTAAGACATGCAAGTTTGATAGCTGTAGCAAACAAATGGTAAGCAGGTGCAATTTATTTTCTGTGGTAGAATTATTTTTCGCTTGACAGACAACAACAAAATACAAGCATCCTATAATTGATTGATTGCTTATTCATCATATCAAGGCCTGGAAGAATGATTTGCATGTAAAAATTGTTTTCAGAGAGAAAGGACACAAATTTGCCAATGAAACATATATCACTTCCAACATTTCATAGTGAATGGATATAATCAGTTTTGGTTTTCTCCTCACAAGCATTACTTATCTTACAGCAATCAAAATCGTCTAGAGACTTTGTTACAGTCAAGCTGAATATGAACCTATATGGAAATGTACAGTTTTTATAGAGGCATATTTTGTTTAAATGTGACACTCATCTATGGTGATTCAACACCCCACAAAACCTATAAAAACCTTACAAACAGACCAAGACTTCACTATAGCTACCTTACAAATTTTCAGATCTCCTTGTTGTTTGTGATTGGAAATGTATAGCTTTATAGACATATTTTGTTTCTTCCTCATTGAAAAATATAATCATAGTAAAGATTCCCCCCCCCCCCCCCCCCCCCAAAAAAAAAAAAAAAAATCAAATAACTGTGATATACAATTACATACATGAAGTTTTTGATATACACTAATGTATAGTACACATGTAGATGATTGAGGCCATGGCATAGTTCATGTACTTCTGTGCAGTACATTACCTGGCATTGTCACTTCAGCAACAATCCAGTTCTCAGGAGGATGGATCTTCCCTGTTTGAAAAACTTCTTGGCCAACTTGGTACACCCCCACTGTTCACCACCCTGAGAACCAACCCGCTGGCAGGGAAAAACCAAGAAGAATTACTCGGCACTGTGAAATCAGAAATTTTGAAAGTAAGAAATGGTTATCTTTACATGACTGTTAATATTTAAAAAAAAAAAAAAAAAGTAGTGCACAGGGCTGCCAAGATTTAGTGATTCTGGTCAGTGTACTGTATTGCAATTTAAAAAAAAATTGTCTATGCTAAATGTTATATCATGTTTTTGTCAAATTGCGTGTAATTTCCATCATCATAGTTATTTTGCACCTTTTTTCATAAGAATACAAAAAATCAGGTGGTTTTGATTTCTTATCAAGGAAAATAGGAACAGGCATGTAACATATCATGTTGAACTTACCCTTTTGTAAGAATGCTGAAACAGGAAATTCTGATTAGTTTCAGTAACACACATTACTATCTTGTTGATGTGATAACAGTCAGAGTTAGATTTTTACAGTTACAGAAATATTAAAATTTGTAGCTTTGTACATGTATGTGTGTAAATCTCTACTTATGGACTCCTACTGTATGAATGTGACGCATGAATGAATGGTAGTAGAGAGAAGAGTAAATGGAATGAAATGAAGCTAAATAAAAAAAGAAAGTAAAGTTGATTTTTGATATTTCTTTATACTTTATTCTTTATTGGACAGAATTACAAGCAAAAGGGATGGAAGGAGCCTTGCATCTACTATCATGCTGTGCTGAAGGATCTCATCATTGTAGAGGGAAGGGGACCAAACCTGGATCTGCAAAAGGTGTTCAAAGCATCAAGTTGGAAAACAAATATGTCAATATCATTGCATTAACTAGAGGGTGTACATGTTTGTGCAATAAGTTTTAGTTCTTTAAAGTGCTACTAAAATGTATTGTACTACTTCAGTCATTATAAACAAATAAATATGTGTTTCTTTTTAAATATCGAAAGTTATTTGCAATTATTTTGCATGTTCATTTTGAAAATTATTCAGCTTTCTATTATCATTCTTTTTGAAAAGACAGGTTACTTAGCTCACCTGACCCGACGGGCTAACTGAGCTATTGGGATACCATGACGTCCGTCCTTTGTCAACTTTTTCTACAAAATACTACTGGTCATAAATGACTGAGATTTTGATGGGGAACATTGTAATGGTAAACAATAAATATAAATGGTGGATCTCTGCCATCTGGGACAGGAAGGGTAGGGTAAAAAAGGATAAACAAAGCAAATTCTTTAAAATCCTATTCCTGCTGTAGAAGTTTCTGGATTTTGTCCAAATTTAGTCAGAAGTGCTTTTGGATGAAGGGATTTTGTATTTATAAATGGTGGATCTTGGACCCCAAGGGCAAAGCCGAAATGGGGAAATAGAAGAAAAAAATAAATCCTACTCTTCCTGTAGAAGTGATTGGATTTTGCCAAAGTTTGGCGTGAATCATGTTTTAGTGAAAGGGGATCAATTTTATATAAATGGTGGCTCTCGACACCCTAGAGCAGTAAGGGAGGGCTCAATAGGGGAGATGTGTTTGAAAACAGTTTAGATCCCCATCCCAGGACCATATATAGCATTGCTAGGCATAAAGAGATGAACACAATCATGATGGTCTGGGGTCTGACCCAATCCCAAGGGACTTAGTTTCCTTGTTATATCTTTGAGACAGATGAGATACCCACCCTTTAACCATATACATGATGTTAGAATTGGCCTTTGAGTCTGGTGCCATCCTGAGGGACTTATGTTCCATGTCATATCTTTGAAAGTGTTGAGTTCCCCACCCCATAACCATAAAGGATATAGCAATGTTGTAATTGGGAATCAAGTAATAATTACAATCATGACGTAAGAATTGGCCACACTGCTACTGACTCAGTTTCACAGTAATATCTTTGAAACAGTTGAGAATGCCACCCCTAAAACATATATGGCAATTCTAGGCATCAAAGAGGTTAAGCGACCGCTTTATAATTTGGTAATATTTGAAATACTAAACCTGTAGGCATGTATTACATTGTTAGGCTTTAAGATCAAGGTGAGCATTACAGGCCCTATGGGCCCCTTGGTCATTTTCTGCCAAATGCCATTTTCCATACAAAGTCATCAAGGTTTATGCTCAGCAGTCTTTCAGTGTTGACTGCTGGTCAATATTTTTTTAAAGATTATATTTGTTTAAAGAAACTAGCATGAGTTTAATTAATGTTCTCTTTGACAGTATAACAAGCAAGTTGTGGTTGACTTGGCATGTGGAATGGCAGTGTTACGTGGGGCTGATGTGTTTGCACAGGGAATTATGGGATGTTCAGTAGGTATGTCTGAAAAGATTGAATTTTGATGTTTAACCATTTCTTAAGGAAAACAGTATGTCATGTTTTTTGGCTCACCTGGCCTATTTCTCGAGAACTAATGCATAGATCATTTCCAAACTTCATGTGTAGGTTCCTCTTGCTCCCTAGTGGAACCCATTTGATTTTGGGACTGATCAGGAAAATAAAATGGCCAACAGACGGCCATCTTGTATTTTACCTAGTAAGGATTGTTATCGCTATTTCTGAATGGATCTCGTTCAAATTCCATATGTAGATTCCCCTTGGTCCCTAATACCTTGGATTTGGCAGGTTCAATTTTTTATGTCTATCTCTGAAAAGGATTAATGTTCAAATTTCTTATCATTAAGAGCAAAAACAGAAGAAAAGACCCAACATTCAAAGAACGAATGCAGATCAAACAGTGGTGGGTGTAAGATCCCTCTGGGATCTCTTGTAAAGTAATGTTTCTTCTAGTTAAGTTTGGTGCCAGTTGACAATTACATTGCAAGTTTGATGACTTACGAATCTAAAATCAAATAAACTTGAATGTTGGGATTATAACTACCGTAAAATTTATTAGATAATTACAAGAAAAATGACTGATCAGTTATACATATTATTACTTGTTTTACATGAATCTTTCTAAGTATGTGGTTCTTTGATAAATTTGCTGATATATTGCCATGCATTGTGACAGGAATGCGTGAAGAGGATGCTGTGTCTGTATTTTGTGATGTTGACAGTACATGTTTAAAGGGAGCAACAAAACTCCAGGAAGAATCCATGATGTTTGTAGGAAATGGCATTGCTTGTGTCAGCAGGGAGAAACTATTCTGCTCAAAAGAAAAAGTTTGGTAATCATGATTCTAACATTTTGATTAAGTTTCTAGCTCACCTAGTCATGCAGGAGCCCATTCGTCAACATTTGCTACCAGTATAGAATGAGTGAATTTTGACCAAATTTGATCAGAAGTGTTGTAGGGTGAAGCTGATCAATTTTCATATAAATGATTGGCCCCGCCCTCGCCCCTCAGGTCACTGAGGAGAAAGAAGAAATTTTCAAAGTTCTTTAAAATCCTACTCTTCGTTTAGGAACTACTGGATTTTCCCCAAATTTGGTCTAAAACAATCTTAGATAAAAAGGAATCAATTTTGTAAGAGCAGTAGGTCTTCGCATCCAGGGCAGTGAGTGGCAGGGTCCAATAACGGAAATTTTGCAAGTCTTTTAAAATCCCACTCCATTGGATTTAGTTCACATTAAATCAGGAGCATTCCTGGGAGGAGGGAAATCACTTTTCTACACAAAACATCAACATACTTAACATTGAAAAACACTGCAAAGTTTTCTGTGATATATAAGTGATGCATTGATAGAAAAATACTTCTTTTTTTCAGTTTTAATATCACTGTTTTTTTTTTTACTTTTGAATCAATAAGTCTCCCACATGTTCATGTAGTGTATATGCTCAACATACAGTGTAATAGGTCAGCCAATTGACTAAACACATCAGTTTCGAAAACTTATTAACTGGATGATTTTGGTGAGAATGAAGGTGTCCAGACTCTCAAGGATTCACAGTATAACATCTTTTGATCAACTGTATAACATATATCATATTCCCATTTCAGTGAAATCTGTAGCTTAAAAATTTCAGATACATGAATTATAAATATATGTGATGCATACTCTTAAGCCTCTGTTGAATACATGAAATTATGTGGGTTTTTATTTACATCACATACAAAAATAAGTCACTGCAACTTTGTTTTCATGTTCAACTGTTTTTACATTTTATCTCATATCTTTGTGTTTCATTTTTACAAAAATGCACTGTAAAACCTGAAAAAGTTGCTGTATAGAAATGCTTGTATTTTTCATGGCAATAAAGAATCCACAAAAATGAAGTGTGAACTTTTAGATTGAATAAATATGTATATAGTTGAACGACATTCACAAATGTTTTTACCAACTGAAAAGATGTTTTGAACCAGGAAAGAAAATGATACACACAAATATTCAATCTTATACATGTACATCTATGTGTAAATCAAAGCAGTCATGTGTACTGACATGTGTTTTTAGGTCATTCATCACATATGAGGGAAGGTCTTGTTCATGTCATTGCATAGCATTGCATAGCTTAGCTTTATACATTGTAATGTAGATGTTGATGTGGTGCCATCGAGCAATGATTTAATTATTTTGTGATTTCAGTGGTGTTGGTATCTCTATGACACAGCCATTATATGAAGCCCCCAGTCTGACAGATCTGTGCTCTGATCTTGTCTTTCCACAAAATCTTCCGTCTGTTGTTGCAAGTCATGCTCTCAACCCCAAACAAGGGGAGACCATCCTGGATATGTGTGCTTCACCTGGTAACTTCGCCTTTCTATTTTTAGCCCATCATCAGCAGATGGTTGGCTGTCAAATTACCCTTTGTTAATCACCACTTTAGAGGTTCATATTAAAGTTAAATCTTTTAATAAACTTGAGACCTTTTTTATGAAATATGAATAACAGTTTAAGAATGAGAATACTTCATTATATCTCATTTATCGTTTTTTTTTACTAAGAGAAATTGATTTTTTGAAAGGAGGTAATGACCACTTCACTACATATTTGTAATTACAGTGTTACAATTTAAATCCAGGTACAATGAAATAAATGCATGAGTAAAGTGGTTTAATGAAGGCTTGAACAAGGTTAAATGAGGAAAGTGTATTAGTGGACTTAAATAAGACTTGGCTGTAGTTTATAAGATATTAATATAGAAAGTTATACATAAAGTTATCAACTAAAGAGCTAATGTCTTAGTCATATCAATATTTATCTCTAATTTTAGTATGAAAAGTGATACTTTTTTTTTGCAGGTGGAAAAACAGTGCATATAGCTACACTTATGGCCGGAAAGGTACTGTAAGTAGATACATTTCGTATCTCTCCAACTATAAGAGTAAAGGATCTGGTCCCAGTTGCTTAAAGCTTGGCTAGAGTTTACAGATTGTCAGTGAAAAATCATATTGAAATTAAACGAAACATTTCACAGTTATGTATTTGTTGAGACAGGTTCAATTAATGTTTTTGAATACTAGATTTTCTTTGAAAGTCCTTGTTTTTCAATGGAAATGTTTACAATTTTTCACTATCCATTGGTCAAATCTAACCAAGCTTTCAGCAGAATAAAAGAATCTTACAATAATTATCTGACGTTTTATTCAGACAATGCAATTTTATATAAAATTTTATCACAATACTAAAAGGAATATTTATTGGTATCAAGAATTCCTCATCAGCCGATGTGAAGTTAATTTTTCTATCTCTTTTTACAAATAACACAGTAATATTGATACCTTATATTAATAACTGATGACATTTCTTTGAATTTAAGGGCCGTCTGATAGCTTTAGATAAAACACCAGCTAAAATTGATAAAATCAAGAAAAATGCTGAAAACTGGAATATCAATTTTATTGAGACCTATCCATGTGATGCGAGACATGCATGCTTAGACACAGCAGGTGAGAATATTATCTAGAGTTCACTAGTATGAGGACTGATTGATAAGTAGAGGGATTTCTGAGGAAAGGACTTCTTTAAAAGTGGCATGGAGGCCCCTAAACATAGAAGGCAAAAGTGTATAGATACTAAAGGGGATTATGTTGAAAAATAATGCATTATGCCAGCCACAAGTCCATACCTTAAATATGATACTCACAACTTATCAAACAGTCCTCATATATATCTCTAAATGTAACGTGGTTATATCACAGTTAAACCTGTTGTTGGATGGTGTAATTACTCTGGATCGCAAGATCTTCTTTCTTTCCAGGTAGTGACAAAAATTATTGGGTATCTGCCACATGTCTCCTGTTTTGATAAGATTTGTTGATACAGTGCAACTTTCCCAAACCTGGGAACCAGATGAAATTATGTCCTGTTTATTGCAGTAATTAAAAACTTCCCTTTAGCAATTCCTCTCAATTCCAATTACAAATCCAATTTTGTGACATTATTTATGTTGAAAATTACTGATACCTACCATGTATATCATTAGAAAATTGCTGACTGGCTTGTGCCACACACATCAAACTTTAGGTCATACATGTATTCAGCAAGTTTATTACTGATATTGTCATTTTTCCAAACTTTTTATGATAATCCCAAAACATGACAAACTATTGGTTTTATTTCATGAATAGCAAAAAGAGATAAACTTATTTAATAATTTATGTTGAATCTGTTTTAGTGGTTTTTTTTGTTTTTCTTTTATTTTAGATATTGCAGGGGGGCCTCCCTATCCACCAGATATGTTTGATCGTGTCTTACTGGATGGGCCTTGCAGTGCTCTGGGCCAGAGGCCTTCCAGCAAGAACAATATGTCACTTAAGTCTTTAAAATCTTATCCTATCCTTCAAAGACAACTATTTCATCAGGTAATCTTGCATTATAACATTCTTTGTCAAACTAAATACATAATGTACTTCACAATATTCAAAGGTTAAAGTGAAAAAAAAACAATTATGAAATGATTATTTGCTACTACCATGGTGTCAATCCAATACTGTTAGATATGCTTATCATAGACTTGCAGATATTGCCACATTTGTTAAGATCTAAGGATATTAAAATATTCACTAATTTGTAAGATATAAGTTATCATATATAATGTATCATTTGTCTATCAGAATCTGTCACCACGGTGTTGGTCCTATTTACAGATTTGTTTACACTAACACATTATCATATGGTAGTTGAAAATATATTATAGATATTTGTAGTCTTTCATAAAGACTTAAGGTTTGTTATATTATAGAAAAGTTTTTTGTTTGCTGTTGGTCAAATCCTTCCTACAATATACACTACTGAAACTGGATGTTGCTTGTTTTAAGGAATATTGATGGATCAGCATAATGTTAGGCTTGGCTAGAAATTATCTAAACCTATAGTATGCTGTAGTATGTACTTAATCCTGACTGGTCCTATTTGATTCAAAGGCAGTGAAATTACTGAGACCAGGAGGAACTCTAGTGTACAGTACTTGTACCATCACGATGGAGGAGAATGAGGAACTAGTCGCATGGGCATTACAGACATTTTCCTGCTTGTCCTTATCCAAAATGGTGAGTAGATATTGATTTCACACCATTGATATAACGTATGATTCGATCACTACAGGAGTCCTTGTGGGGATGTACATGTATAATAATAGGGATGTTTCCTTATATATTGTAACATGTATCCTTGTCAGCACTCTAGCAGCTTCATTTCTTGAGAGACTTATATAGATTTCACTCTCATATAATGGTCCACCATCTGTCTAAGATTAATTTGAATTTCAGGGTTCTAGGGTCAGTCATCCTAACTCTAGCAATATAAGTCCTTGTTAGATTGTTATCAAACTTTACCCACTTAAAAAATTCTGTCATATCTCAAACAAATCAAAATTTCACTTTAAAGTCAAGGTCATTACTATTATCTTTAGAAATTCCAAAAGACAAATTGAATTGACATGTAAGTAGAACAAGTAAGAAAGTAGAGATTTAGTTTTAAAATTTCTTGAAGTGAAAGGTGTCAAATATCCCTAAATCATGTAAGGAAAATCACAACACTCTTTATACTTTATACAAGAAGCTTTCAATTGATATTACAATTGAAACAAAATTTACAATATAAAATTCTTCAAAGGGTTTCAACTACTGGTACAAATAATTTCCTTTATTAAGTTAATGCAATTGTTAATGTCTTTTGTTCAGTTTGTAGAGAGACATCAGAAAATCTAGAACATTAATATATTTGTTGTGTGAAGGCTAATCAACTGTGAATTGGTTTAAGAAATTGGTTGAATGTTAATACACAATCATGATGTCAAAATTAGTTTAACTGGTTGGTTTTGCTTTGTGAAAAGGGTCTGCCTTTAACTAAGTACTTGATACTTATAACAAATTACTTAGTACTTTTACTCAAATACTAAGTTTATAATACTCGCAACAAATTTGGCTATACTGGAATCACCCAGCATGTCTGTCTAGATGGTGAACTGATTCCAAAGAAACTTCATATCATTATAAAGGACCATATGTGGATGTGCGTACAATTTTTTTTCCAAAAAATTTGATTTCCATAATAATTTGTAATGGTACAAATATTTTACAATAAATGACCATTACACCTTGGTCATTCAACAGAAACAAAAACTATAGTAAGGTACATTAGGTGTTTCAAAACCAGTTACTATGGGAACGCAATCTGGGCCTCTGATTGGTCAAAATTAAGATATTCAAGTTCGACCAAATTTGGAAAAATAGGGGTATAAGAGGATGCCAAATATCATGGTATGTGTTTCATTGCCATGACAACTATGCTAGGGCAAATGGTGGCCTCTTACTGGTTGAGATTTAGATTTTGTCTGATTTTTACCTTAGTTTGTATATAGGAACATACAGGAATTCCAACATTAATTTTCAACTGTTTTTGAGTATATTGAAGTCTTTGGATCTGCAACCAGTATTATAAGGTCATTTCATCGAGTGCTACCTAGAAAAAACACATGCACCTAAGTAAGACCATTATCACAGCTCTGAATTCTCATAGACGCTAGTAAAATCTGTGCAACCTACCCCATTATTTTCTGTGTACGCTCTACGTTTCATGTTTCTCACACAACCTTTGATGGGTACAATCTACCTGCGTCCTCTACAATATGTAGACAGTCTACATACTCTCTACATATGCTCTACTGGCGTCAATCTTTACGCTACCAAGGCTCATTCTGTCATCCAGTCTTTGACACAGCATAAATCTCTCTGCAATTTATCTTCATAAGTTTGTGACCTTAGCTGTCCTTCACGTTACTGACTTCAATCACTCATGATCATAACATTTCCATTACTATTTATTTTCATTTAACAATATTGATCAACCAATTGATACTGACAAAGTAGCTGCACATGGTGTTATTAGTATTACTGTGTGTGGAAACAAAATTTAATAGAGCATTACTTATGTCATCCTACAAATACATGCATTCATGAATAGATGTAAAATAATTCAGCCAGTAACATTACCTTTGAGATATGGACAGTAATCTGTTCAACACATAAGACTTGATGCTTAAGAATCGTTATTACCTTGAACAGAAGTTGATTATAATTTGCAAATTTGATCTCTGGTACAGGAGCCACATCTAGGAAGTGCAGGACGAGTATGTGCAGGCCTTGGTGCAGCTGACAGAGACAAGCTACAGTTGTTTCTACCTGGATGTGGTGACAATACTTCACCAGAAAATGACACTATTGGATTCTTTATAGCAAAGTTTCTGAAATTACCTAGCTAATTGAAACATTTCTTGTTTCTGGTGTTTCAGTGTCAAAGGCTTTGAATTGTCAAAATTGTTCACTCAATTTTGATTATGTGCATGTGCTTTATAATCAGTCATATATGTAAAATGTACATAAATTTCTCAAGGAAGAAATAAATAGCTAGCAATTAGAACAACATGCTTTGATTGGTGATATTTTACTGGACTTGTATCCATGGTCACATGGATCAGAATTGTAAAAGAAAAAAACACTTAAGCAACTTTTGATATAATGTAATATTAATAAGAATACAAAACTATGGTAATTGGCCTGGAGCTTGCTGGCATTGAGAAATGATCTTGTTCATGGTTGTCACTTTGTCAGATTTGTGAATCCTTTTGATTTACAAGAGGACCAAGTTTATATAACAGGTAATAACTATGACATTCAGCTTTTTGTTGTTAGATTTTTATTAAGAAATCAATTTAAAACTTCATGACCAACATTAATTGAAATCTTGCAGGAAGGGATTTACCAATTTCAGTGGAATACAGTTTAGGCTGAAGTGTAAACATGACTGTTTTAAAGTTAATTAGTGTGAATTTGATACTGAACCACTTTTAATGTGTGAGAACTAAAATTTAATGTTGTGATGACAAGATCACTGCAGATGGATGCACTCTATGCCCATATATACATGTATATAAACATGCCTTTTAGGCCTTTTCTATGCCCATGTTATTGTGTATATCATCGATAGTATTAGTCCATGAACATTGAATTAATGATAAATCAAGAATTAATAAAAAAAAAAATTCTCAAAATCCCTAGAATCAAATTCCATGAAATTTTAGAAGAATCATACACTTGCAAAAGATGAACCAAAAGTGTGAATTATATGGTTCCATGTCCCCACTGGCCAAAGGGGTCAAATTGACTAAAATTTTTAAAATAATCTTATAAATACCAGATTTAGTAGAATAAAATGATTTTCATGGATGGAAAGGTCTTGTGGTGCTTTATCAAAATTGTGAATTTCATGGCCCTAGGGTCTCGCATTTCCCCTTGGGCAGGGGGTAAAATTTGTGAAAAAAAAAAAATTTATAGTAAAGTTATATTTTCAGGATGATTTAGTTAATTTCTGTTGGAAATATTTGAAACTTGGTTAAGGATGACGGCTTGATATTATACACGTATTGCTTTAGCTTGCTGACCCGAGGGGCAAGTGGATGGGGACCAAAAGGAGTTAAATTCACTCAGATTTCAAAAATTATCTTTTTTTCACCTTGAAATGGTAGAATCAAATGCTGTTCATAGCTTGAACGGTCTTAATGTGCTTTTCACTAAAATTGTGAATTTCATGACCACATGGTCTCACGTTTCCTCAGGTTTGGGATGAAGTTTACCACATATCATTCCACTCTATGAAACATTCCAGATGTACTATATTGATAAAAAAAATAGTGTACATGTGCATTGGGACGTTAGAGTCTGCCTGTGACATTATGCTTTCAACAAGTAAATCATGTTATACTGAACCACCACAATGCTAGGTGTTAACCATTTAATATACATGTACAAATGCATATATATGCAGATATTGAAGGCTGATTTAAGGTCATCCATATTGATATTGGCAGTTAAATTCCTGTTGTTTAGATTTTAATTTTTCCCTTATATGCTCTTAGAAAGGTGAAATAGTTGCATGACACATAACCAGTTTGATTATAATAATTTTAGGTCATCTGATGACTATTGCGATTGCCTTTTGTCCGGCGTCCGTCGTCAACAATTAACATTTTCAACTTCTTCTCAAGTTCTACATGTCTCATTGAGCTGAAACTTACCTGAAAAGATCGTGCCATGTTCCTGACCAAAGTTTTTTAATTTCGGGTTGGTCCGAAATCCATGAGGGCCGCCATGGATGCCATTTTGATAATACATTGAAAACACATTTTCAACTTCTTCTCAAGTTCCACCAGTGCGATTGAGCCAAAACTTGCAAGAAATGATCATGACATGGCACTGACCAAAGGTTGTCAATTTCGGGTTGGTCCGAAATCCAACATGGCCGCCATCTTGAAAACACATTTTCAACTTCTTCTCAAGTTCTACCTGTGACATTGAGCTGAAACTTACCTGAAAAGATCGTGACATGGATGGTCCCTACCAAAGTTTGTTAATTTCGGGTCAGTCCAAAATCCAACATGGCCGCGATTTTGAAAATACATTGAAAACACATTTTCAACTTCTCAAGTTCTGCTTTGTGACATTGAGTTGATACTTACCTGAAATGATCGTGACATGGACTTGACCAAAGTTTGTTAATTTCTGGTCAGTCCAAAATCCAACATGGCTGCAAAGGCCGCCATTTCGAAAATACATTGAAAACACATTTTCAACTTCTCCTCAAGTTCTACCTGTGACATTGAGCTGAAACTTACCTGAAATGATCGTGACATGGATTTGACCAAAGGTTGTTAATTTCGGGTCAGTCCAAAATCCAACATGGCTGCAATGGCCGCCATTTCGAAAATACATTGAAAACACATTTTCAGCTTCTCCTCAAGTTCTACCTGTGACATTGAGCTGAAACTTACCTGAAATGATCGTGACATGGACTTGACCAAAGTTTGTTAATTTCGGGTCAGTCCAAAATCCAACATGGCTGCAATGGCCGCCATTTCGAAAATACATTGAAAGCACATTTTCAGCTTCTCAAGTTCTACTTGTGACATTGAGCTTAAATTTACATGAAATAATCGTGACATGATCCTGACCAAAGTTTGGTAATTTGACAGAGTTCAAAAACAGAAGTAAGTAGTAGTTCTTATATCTGAAGGTTGTCTGATCTGTGTTGTTCTGGCACCTAAGACCTTCTAGGTATACACAGCTGCTTAAGGCTTATATAACCTATAAACAACGTACCGTATTTTACCTAATTGCCACACATGCTGTTATAACCACACCCCATACTTTTGTATGGAAAAGAAGATGGGTGCGCTTATTTAAACCCTGGAAACATTCCTTGCCTCAATGATCTGACGTCCAGAATATTTGTCAGCCTTCTAACCAAAGACTCTCTTCCGGAGAATCCTCTTTCTTGAAACAAATGACCTTGATCCTTTTTCAAGGTCAGAAGGGTCAACTTTGTATAAAACCTGGAAGAAACATCATCTGAATAACCATAACACCCAGGGTGATATTTGGCCTGTAGCATGCTGGTTTGTTGAAATGAATAACCTTAACCCACTTTCAAGGTGGTGACTGAGTGCACTTGATTCTTAAATCCAAGTGAAATAAGTTCAAAATTTGAAATCTTGTATTTATGTCAGATGACCGTTAAAGCCCATGAGCCTCTTGTTTTGTATACTGTTCTTCCGAATTTACAATTTATGGAATTTACAAATTTTGGAAAGTTATTGCTGAAATCAGGACAGTATATCCCTAATGACAATAACGGCGAAGTGGCGGGTAACGAAAACCAAACGTCATTAATCATATATACTATGTAAACAGGTTTGGTATCCAGCCATTGAAGGCATGTATCACGACATGTCAATGCTGGAATCTCCTACCACAAACCAGGCATACGTGAAATAAAACCAACAAGAAAATAACAATATGTCAACATAATCATAATCCAAACTTAAATTTAATAAAAAATATATATATATATATATATATATTTACACGGAGATTCATGAAAACGTACAAAGAGAATAAGACCACTTATCCAGATGAATAAACATTTTTGCATTATCAACGACACCCGTAAATTTTGGTCAATCCAAGCACGTAATGTCACGTTCTCAAATGAGAACAAGGTATACAACAATGGAACCAACAGAAAACTAACGAGCATCAAACACGTCCGGCTTCATATCGCACAAAGAAAAAAATATTTATCAGTGAGAGCATTGTGATAACCGTAAAACTTGTCCATACATTCCCATCAACACGCATCATTTGAAACCCTTTGAGACAAGTTTGTCCGTCAGTTGATGACTTCTTGCATGAAATGTGTGATAACGGGAACAGATCTTTGCACTGTGACATGTAAACATCATAGGCTGGGCATGCACGATGTTGCTATCAATTAAAAATTCACACTAGGAAAATCTAAATCATCATGCTCATCGTACAGCTGGGTGGAAAGCTGTCTATGTGGTTTCGTTGTAGGAAAAGATCAATATAAGCTGTTGGGTGTTTATATATACATATGCGTATATATCGATAGATTCAGCGACGTATGAAAACAAACATGTCGAACAACAGAGTGGTAGAGGCAGTTCCCATAGGTGTGTCAGTAGTCTGGTTGATGATCTTGCAACCGATCTCAACGAAAATGTTGCCACTCCGTATATTTATAATTTGATTGTATTCACAATCATATACTTGTACCACCGTGCACTTTTTGGAAAAGACAGTAGCATTGAAAGAGAACGAAGGCGTTCACTGACTTTAAAATGATGCTAAAATGTACTTACTGTACAACGTTTTTTTTCGAAAAGGATGTTTGGAGATTGGTCAAAAGCTCTTCGGAGTACTTTTAAAACCACATAATATTCATTCCACTTCTTCAGTGAACAATGTCACGTTCAGGCTATACTAAGAATGATAGTAAGTAGTTTTGTTAAAGGTTTGATGTAACAGCTAGACGAAACAGCAATAAAACGTTCTGTATCCGTATCATTATTGGCAATCTAAATTATTGTAATGAAACATGATTAGCCAGTACAGTTCTTTTTGTATACGGGAAATGAAACAATATTTGCAGACAAGGATCAAAGCATTGGCCTCGTCATCTGCGGGAACAATAACATAACTGTAAAGCAAATCTTTGAAATGTGGTTTTAACATCAGGATCATATTCCATTAACGGACGGGATTTCACGATGTTTATGACACTAGGAACGCGTCGTGAATTTATCTTTATATTTGTTTTCGTGAAAAAATAGATTTTAGGCTGTTATTGTTTTAAGAATGATGGACAGAGTGGATTTAACACATTCAGTAAGTGAATCAAACACAGCATATTCTCATTTCACCCATCGTCTGGTATAGTTATGAACGAAATCCACCAGTTTCTTGAAATTCATATTCCATTCATTTATGGAAGGGACAGTGGGTGGGATTTACACAATTCAGGTTTCATATTGCATATTCTGTTATGTTACACACAAATGTTTTATGTAATAAAGCACACATACCAGTTTTGACTGAGGTTTATTTTTACAGGACTGGGTTATATTGTAAATTCGTTGCACGAATATAAAGATAAATTCCTCTAGATCCGAAACGCAATATTGATGTGATAAGGAACGTTCTCTGTAAGCAGACAAAACACTTATTTTACTCACCGTCGTGAAGCGGATGGTCGCCGCCATTTTGGTTGTGACCGGGGATAGTTAGGCCGTGACCTACGGTTTAGGTTGGACCCCTTGTTTATGAAAAGCACACAGAGAGAGGAAGCGGTACGGTGTACTTCAAACATAATGAAAACCTAATGGTTTCTGTAAGATATCTGACAATAAACCCCATATTAGTACACGTTAGAAAAAAACTTATTATAATTAAGACATGGGAGCTATGAACATTCATTCGACAACAAATCCTTTTTACAAATTATACTTAAGTACAGTACATACTGTATCGTAGTGTGGTTCGCTTGACGCACTGGCGTATTTCTTGTATCGAGTACATTCTTTTGGCGGCACAATAAACAT